GTTCCGTCTGGCTCGTTGTCGGGTTTCCACCTCCCCTCGTTCTCGACGAACCTGGTGAGCAACGCTGTCATCCAGGATCAGTGGGTTGACACCTTTACCCCTGGAGGACAGCGTGTGGCGATCTGCACGTGCTCCCGGACCGGCCGTCACCTGGCTACGTTTACTCGTCGGCCGGGGTCGAGTCTCTACACACTGACCACTGCGTCTCCTCAGGTCGCTGCTGTCGGTCAGGTGTCCGCGTCAGGTCTGGTAGCCCACGCCTGTGAGTGTCGTTCCCTGTCGCACCAGACTCTTCTCTGGCACCACCGCCTGGGTCACCCCTCCTTGCCACGCCTCCGTGGCATGCACCGTCGCCACCTTGTGTCTGGTCTTCCCAGGTCCCTCCCTCCCCTCCCTGCCTCGCCTGCGCCGCCTTGCCTTCCTTGCGTCGAGGGGCGGCAGCGCGCCGCTCCTCACTCCTCCTCGTTCCCCCCGACAGAGGCTCCTCTGCAGACCCTCCACCTGGACGTGTGGGGCCCAGCCCGCGTTCGTGGTCAGGGCGGTGAGCGGTACTTTTTGCTGGTTGTCGACGACTACTCGCGTTACACCACGGTCTTCCCCTTGCGCACCAAGGGTGAGGTCCCTGCTGTTCTGATCCCTTGGATCCGCACAGTTCGTCTCCAGCTCCGCCGCCGTTTCCGGACGGATCTTCCTGTCCTGCGTCTGCACTCTGACAGAGGTGGTGAGTTTTCCTCCGACCTCTTGAGGACCTTCTGTCAGGCGGAGGGCATCGAGCAGACCTTCACGCTTCCGGACTCCCCACAGCAGAATGGGGTTGCTGAGCGCCGCATTGGCCTGGTCATGGAGGTCGCTCGTACCTCCTTGGTCCACGCGGCGGCTCCCCATTTTCTGTGGCCGTTTGCTGTCCGGTACGCCGCGCATCAGCTCAACCTCTGGCCCCGTGTCTCCTTGCCGGAGACCTCGCCCGCACTGCGTTGGACGGGGGAGGTTGGCGATGCGTCGCGCTTCCGGGTGTGGGGTGCTCGTGCCCTTGTCCGCGATACGTCCGCGGACAAGCTCTCCTCCCGCACGCTTCCCTGTGTCTTCCTTGGCTTTGTCCCTGACGCGCCGGGCTGGCAGTTTTACCACCCCACCTCGCGCCGGGTCTTCGCCTCTCAGGACGTCACCTTTGACGAGTCGGTCCCTTTTTACCGTCTCTTCCCCTACCGTACTGCCCCCCTCCCTCCCCCGCCGCTTTTCCTTGCTCCTGGTCCCCCTCCGGTAGACCCCCTTCCCCCTCAGGGTCCTGCTCCTTCAGGTGTCTCTCAGGTAGACCCTCCTCCCGTCGCTGAGCCTGTCGAGGTCACAGGTGACTCAGGTGCTGCTGCAGGTGGTGCTGCTGGGAGTGCTGAGCCTGCGGGTGCTGGGCCTGGGGGTGCTGGGACTACGGGTGCTGGAGCTGAGGGTACTGTGCCTGAGAGTTCGGCGCCTGGGGGTGCTGAGCCTGGGGGTGCTGCGACTGGGGGTCCTGAGCCGGCGTGTGCGGAGTCTGGGGGTGCTGAGTCTGGGGGTGCTGCGCCTGCGGGTACTGAGCCTGGGGGTACTGCTACTGAGCCTACGGAGCCTCGGGTTGCTGCGTCTGGGGGTGCTCCGGTTCGGGGTGCTGAGCAGTCTCTCACACCACAGCAGCTTCGTGACTGGTACGTCCGGCGCTTTCGCCGTCCTAGTGGCTCGGCTGGAGCTGGGGGTACTGGAGCTGCCGGGACTGGTTGTTCTGGGCGCACTACGACTGGAGCTGCTGGAGCTGGGGACTCTGGAGCTGGCGGCGCTAGCGGAGTTGTAGCTGCGGACCCACCTGGTGGAGCTGCTGCTGGAGCTGAGGACCCGAGCGGTGGCGCTGCTGCTGGTGCTGGGGACCCGGACGCTGGAGTCTCTTCTGCTTCTGGAGACGCTGCGCGGCCGCGGCCGTACTTCGTACCGCTCCTTCAGCAGGTTCTTGGGCAGGCTCCTCCTCCTTGTCCTTCTCCCTCCGTAGAGTGTCCTCCGACTGTCCAGCCGCAGTCACAGTTACCGCCTGCCTCGCCTCTCCCTGCTCCCTCTCCTTACACTGGTCCCACAGGAGGTCTTACAGAGCGTCGTGAGCCTGAGTCTCGTCCTGCGTCGCCTGTACGTACTGCTCGCACTGGTCGTCGTGTCCGTCGTGAGCGTCCTCCTCCTGTCCCAGGCACTCACTATATGACTCTGCGTCCCTCTACTGCTCCTCAGCGTGTCCCTCTACCGTCTCCTCCTGCGTCCTCTTTGCCTGCTGTTCCGGACCCTGAGTCTGACCGGTATCGTGCTGAGCACCCTACTGTCACGCGTCTCCTAGCCACTGTTGTCACTGACCCTACCTTTGAGTCCTCGGCTGCGTCTGCTCTGGTCGCTGAGTTGGTTGACTTTGCTGCTGCCTGTCGTCTAGACTACGCTGCTCGCCTTGTTGCTGGGTCTGAGTCTGCGTCTGTCTGTCCTCCGTCCGTCGGGGGTGAGTGTGCTCTTGGCACGGACGTCCTTGAGGACAGGCAGGAGGACTTTGACTCTCTTGCGGCTGCTGTACCTCATCTCGTGGCCTGGTTGCTTGCCCCTGAGGGAGACCCGGATGCACTAGACATCCCCACTCCGCGCACTTACGCAGAGGCGATCTCGGGTCCCTACTCCTCTCAGTGGCAGACAGCCATGGACGCAGAGATGGCATCCTGGAAGTCCACAGGCACCTACGTCGACGAGGTTCCCCCTCCTGGGGCGAACATCGTCGATGGCATGTGGATTTTCAGGGTGAAGCGGCCGCCAGGTTCTCCGCCTGTCTTCAAGGCTCGTTACGTTGCTAGAGGCTTCAGTCAGCGTCAGGGGGTCGACTTCTTCCAGACCTTCTCCCCCACCCCGAAGATGACCACTCTTCGGGTTCTGCTGCACGTTGCTGCTCAGCGTGACTACGAGCTTCACTCTCTTGACTTCAGCACAGCTTTCCTGCAGGGCAGCCTGCACGAGGAGATCTGGCTGCGCCGCCCACCTGGCTTTACTGGGTCGTTTCCTCCTGGTACCCAGTGGAGCCTCCGCCGGCCAGTCTACGGTCTCCGCCAGGCGCCACGCGAGTGGCACGACACACTGAGGACTACACTTGCGGCTCTTGGGTTCGCGCCGTCTACTGCTGACCCGTCGCTGTTTCTGCGCACTGACACGTCGCTGCCGCCGTTCTACATTCTCGTGTACGTCGACGACTTGGTCTTTGCTACTGCTGACACTGAGGCACTCGCTCGTGTGAAGTCGGAGCTGCAGAAGAGACACACCTGCACTGACCTAGGTGAGCTGCGTAGCTACCTTGGCTTGCAGATCACCCGGGACAGAGCTCGCCGCACCATCACCCTGACTCAGTCACACATGGTGCAGCAGGTCCTTCAGCGCTTCGGCTTCCAGTTCTCCTCACCACAGGCCACACCTCTGGCTACCAGCCACTCGCTCTCAGCTCCACCTCCGGACGAGTCCGTAGAGCCGAGTGGCCCGTACCCAGAGCTTGTGGGCTGCCTCATGTACCTGATGACTTGCACGCGACCTGACCTCGCGTACCCTCTTAGCATCCTTGCTCGTTACGTTGCGCCTGGGAGACACAGGCGAGAGCACTGGGAGGCTGCTAAGAGGGTGCTGCGCTACTTGTGCAGTACATCAGGCATGGGGCTGGTGCTTGGAGGACATGACAGAGTTGTCCTCACTGGCCACTCGGACGCTTCTTGGGTGGACGACCTGGCTACGCAGCGGTCGTCACAGGGTTACACCTTCAGCCTTGGCTCTGGTTCTGTCTCGTGGCGGTCCACCCGCTCTTCCTCTGTTCTCAGCTCTAGTTGTGAGGCTGAGATCTACGCCACAGCCATGGCTGCACAGGAGTTACGCTGGCTCACCTACCTGCTGACTGACTTGGGAGAGCGGCCTAGTTCTCCTCCAGTTCTGTACGGTGACAACAAGGCGGCTCTTGCCTTGTGTCAGGAGCACAGACTGGAGCACAGGACGAAGCACATTGCTCTTCGCTACTTTCTTGCTCGAGAGCTTCAGCAGCGCGGTCAGCTTCGACTTGTGTACGTGGACTCGAAGGCCAACACTGCTGATATCTTCACCAAGGCGCTCCCGCCTAGTGATCATCAGCGGCACTGTACTTCTTTAGGCCTTGTGTCCACGTTTCCTCACTTGCTCACTGCTTGACATTCTTTGTACTGTACTTTATATATATCTTGTTGCTTGCTTGCTAGGTTTTGATCACTGTGTTGCTTGTCTTGTACTATATCTAGCACTACATGTGAACTGGCCTTGTGGCCTTTGCTTGTGCTCGGAGTGTGGTGACGTTGTGATCCACCCTGGGCTTGCGTTGCTTTGCTGGACTGGTCTTGTGACCCTTTGTTCTCCCCCACTTTGCCTATGGGGGTGTGTTAAATTGTAATGTGTTATATGTTGGTAGGCTGTAGTGGGGTAGCCAATATGGGGTACAACCCCAACTAGGGTTTCATATTAATACCCAAACTTCTGCTAGTTCATTCATTCTTGCCTAGTGATTCTAACAGAAAGAGGCACTTCCGATAGATGAGGTCCTGGGATCGAACCCACCCCCGTGCAGGCGTGTTCTGCCAGCCCCAAGTAGGGGTTAGCACGTGCTCATCTAGGAGTGGATACCCCTTAAACTGGTTACGACCAGAAAAACAAATTTAACCTTTAACCTTTAACGTCTTAGTGTATTCAGCAGCGTTTTAGTGTTGCGTCTAGGTCACGTAATATTCTTAACTCTCGACTTATGCTAGTAGTTTATGTGAGCTTGTCGAGATATCCTATGCTGTCAGAGATGCATTCCAATTAGTAGACGCGTGGACTTCCGCTTATGCTACGACCAGTTGATACTCTCGAGATTATTAACGAGCATGGTATCAACGGATGATTTTTAACGAGCATGGTATCGACCGATGATTTTTAACGAGCATGGTATCGACCGATGATTTTTAACGAGCATGGTATCGACCGATGATCTTTTACGAGCATGGTATCGACCGATGATTTTTAACGAGCATGGTATCGACCGATGATTTTTAACGAGCATGGTATCGACCGATGATTTTTCCGATTTTTTCTTCAAGCCTTCGAAAAATGTTATCTCGAATGATCCCGAGTCGCGTGAGCCTGATCGACGTCCAGATGACGACAAGGCAGGAGAAGATAGAAGTATACTGGACGAATGCATGCACTTAAAAAAGGCAGGAGGCGACAAATGCAGGGGAGATGACGAGGAGCGGGAACGAGCGGTTGAGAGGCGAGGACCAGTAGAGAGCAGGCGGAGTATATTGTCGGATAGTCAGGATGTTCCGGAGAATTGGGAGAGTCAGAAGGCACAGGAACGGCAGGTTAGGCAGGAAAGTCAGGCGATTAAAGAGACGTGTCCGTCACGTGATCGAGTGTTCTCGGCATGGCTTAGAGCCTGTGACGGACGGAAAACGTCAAGTTCAGTCGAAGCGACGCCGTCAGATTTCCCGAGAATAGAAAACCCGGGGAGAAACACTGACGACAGTGCGGCGAACGCGTTATCCGCGAACGCTTCAGATTCGGGTAGAGACGATGTTGGGAGAAAAACGGAAGGAGAGGAACAGGGAGAGAGGAGAAGAAAGGGATGTGATAGAGGAAATCAGGGCGAAAAAACTGGAGGACTGGGAGAACGAGAGGGAAGAGTGGGAAGAGTGGAATTGGGAGGAGTGACGACTGGAGAGATTGCAGGAGCAAGAAGGGAAGGTAGGGATTCAAAAAAGCACGATGATACAGCGAATGGTAGCGTGGCTAGGAAGCATGCCAGGGCACTGGCATGGGAAGAGTACTTAGAGGAAGAAGAGAGGAGGAAAGAGGAGGATTGGGATAGTTATGGTGGCGTGTGGGGGAGTGAGGAGGGTGACGAGGGTCTCGTGGTGTGGCCAGTAGAGGGCGAAATCGGCGAAAAGAATAACGGGGTGACTTCCCCAGTTAGTGACAGAGACAAGGAGGTGGTGAGGGTGCCAGCATCTATCAGCAGACACCTGATGGAGCATCAGAAGGAGGGGGTGCGGTTTCTGTACGGACTGTTTCGACAGAACACGGGCGGCATTCTGGCGGATGACATGTACGTGATGTGACTACAGCGAAGGTGCGTGCATGGAAGGTGGCTCTGTAGCAGTGACTTTTTGGTTGGTGTGTGGCGAAGGTGAAACCAGGTGACTGTCTGGCTGCAGACAGAATGAATTGCAAGATCGCTTAGGTTAAGTTTGGTAGTTTGGTCACTTTGGCAGGTAGATCTTGTTTTGGATCTGCATCTGTGTCATCCGAACTATTTGTGTCAATTTTTGTGTTGTGTTCACAGGGGCTTGGGCAAGACGATTCAGGCGATCGCACTGATGGCCGCAGTGTTGGGAAAGACAGGCACGGCTGAAGACATGGCTGCTCCTGCAGTCACCGTGACAGCAGCAGCTGCACAGGCAACTGCAGTATCAGCAGCGGATGAAGCCGTGAAAGCAGCAGGAAATGCAAGCGAAACGGGTGTTGGTCAAGGGAGGAGCAGTGCAGTAGGGAAGACCACTGCAGGGGGAGCAGCAGCAGGGGACAGAAGCGCAGGAGGGGCAGCAGGGAGGGCTATACTGGTGGTGGTGCCGAGCTCAGTGCTGGGCAACTGGCAGGAGGAGCTGAATCGGTGGGGGCACTTCCGAATTTCCATCTTCCACGGGTCGCACAGAGAGGCTGCTCTGGTGCAGCTGCGGTCAGGATGGGCGGAGGTGAGTGCAGAGTGGCAGTGGGCACTTGGATTGGGAAGGTGTTACTGGTGGTGGTGCCAAGCTCAGTGCTGGGAACTGGCAGGAGGAGCAGAACCGATGGGGCCACTTCCGAATCTCTGTCTTCCACGGCTCGCACAGAGAGGCTGCTTTGGTGCGACTGCATTCGGGGTGGGCCGAGGTGAGTGCAGATTAGCAGTTGGCACTGGGTTGGGGTGGCAAGTGGCAGGAGGAGGTGGGTCAGTGGGGGCACTTCTGAGCGTCTGTTTTCCCGTCGCCACAGGTCATGTCATGCTGACCACGTTCAACCCGTTCTGGTGTGAAATTGACACTTACCTTAAGAGGACCCAAAAGTCGCCAATCTTCAAATCTTCTTTCGTTTGTTCGTCCCATTCTTCCCCGTTCGCTGCAGGTTGTGCTGACCACATTCGACACGTTCCGGGTTGTGGCTGACACTCTGTGCCCGCACCCATGGCTCATGGCCATAGTGGACGAGGTGCATCGATTACGAAGCTACAGCTCAACTCTGTTTCAGGTATGGTGGGAAGAATATTCCGACCTGTATGTATGTAGCTGGCTCACTCACTCTGCCCCCACCCATGGCTCATGGCCATAGTGGACGAGGTGCGTCGACTAAGAAGCTTCAGCTCAACTCTGTTCCAGGGATGGTGAAATGACTCTGTAGGTTTTTATGTGTATATGCAGTGCACACTCTGTGCCCACACCCATGGCTCATGGTGATAGTGGATTAGGTGCATCAACTAAGAAGCTACAGCTCCACTTCATTTCAGGTGTGCGATTTTCAGTGTGTATGGAGCAGTAGAAGCACCGTAATCTTTGCTTCATTCTGGTCTGCCTCGGCCCTGCCATGCCATGCCATCCATGCGTGGTTCACGACTTCAAAGCCACAGCCCAGCTCTGTTCCAGGTGTAATGATATGGGTTTTAAGTCGCTAGTATGTGCACCCGTCGTCCTTCACGTTGTTGCTTGGCATCCCCTCCTCCATCCTCCGCTCCTCCTCCCCTCTCCCAGTGTGCTGATCGCATCAACACTGCACGTCGGTATGGGCTGTCAGGCACAGTCATGCAGAACGAGTTTCGGGAGCTGTGGAGCGTCTCTCAAGGAGTTCAACGAGCGGTACAGCGACCCTCTCAGGCTGGTGGGTGCATGAGGGTCAACGGGGAGGGGGAAGAGGAAGAACAGTGGAAAGCGGGGGCCTGAGTGAAGGGTGCAGAGTTATGGAGAGTGCTCAGTGGTTGCGGTTCGGCTTTTTGGGCACCTTGAAGGAGTTCAACAAGCAATACAGCGACTCTCTCAGGCTGGGTCCGTCTCACTCTCTCACCTCACTCTCCACCCAACCACACCTGCAGGGTCAGCGCAAGGGTGCTCCCCAGCCTCTGGTGGCTCGGGCGCAGGCTCGGCAGGCGGAGCTGGTTCGGGCGCTGGCTCGGGTGCTGCTTCGGCGGCACAAGGATGACCTGCAGGGCTCGCTGAAGCTTCCAGGAAAGCGCGACATGATCGTGGTGTGCCCGATGACGCAACTCCAGAGGAGGGTGTACCAGCGGTGTTTGAAACTGCCCGACTTTCAACTGCTGTCTCGAAAAGATGAGCCCTGCAGGTAAGAGGGGCATCAGTCTTCGCCTCGTTTCAGGGGAGGTTGTACCAGCGCTGTCTGAAGCTGAGTGTTTTTCAGCTGCTCTCACGAATGGAACGAGCAATGCAGGTGGGAAGGGGGGGCTTAGGGGTCATTATCATCTTTAAGGTGCCGATGTCGTCACTCCAGTGGAGGGTGTACCAGCGCTGTCTGAAACTACCGGACTTTCAACTGCTGTCTCGAAAAGATTCGCCCTGCAGGTAAGAGGGGCATCAATCTCGCCTTGTCTCGCCTTGTCTCGCCTTGACTCTACCCGACTTTCAACTGCTGTCTCTAAAGGACGAGACGATGTTAGGCTATTACGCTGCTAGGCTGTTAGGCTGTTAGGCTGTTACGCTGTTAGGCTGTTAGGCTGTTACGCTGTTAGGTTGTTACGCTGTTAGGCTGTTACGCTGTTACGTTGTTATGCTGTTACTCTATTACGTTGCTACGTTGTTAGGCTGTTAGGCTGTGAGACTGTTAGGCTGTTAGGCTATCACGCTGTTATGCTGTTACGCTGTTTGGCTGTAAGGCTGTTAGGCTGATAGGCCGATACGCTGTTACGCTGTTAGGCTGTTACGCTGTTAGGCTGTTAGGCTGTTAGGCTGTTAGGCTGTTACGCTGTTAGGCTGTTACGTTGTTACGCTGTTACGCTGTTAGGCTGTTACGCTGTTACGCTGTTACGCTGTTAGGCTGTTACGCTATTACGATGTTACGCTTTTAGGCTATTAGGCTAATTAGGCTGTTACGCTCTTAGGCCGTTGCGCTGTTACGCTGTTCAATGTTACGCTGTTAGGCTGTTACGCTGTTACGTTGTTAGGCTGTTAGGCTGTTACGCTGTTACGCTGTTAGGCTGTTACGCTGTTACGATGTTACACTGTTAGGCTGCTACCCTATTAGGCCGTTAGGCTGCTAGGTTGTCATGCTGCTACGCTGTTACGCTGTTACGCTGTTAGGCTGTTAGGCTGTTAGGCTGTTACGCTGTTAGGCTATTACGCTGTTACGCTGTTACGCTATTACGCTGTTACGCTGTTACGCTGTTACGCTGTTACGCTGTTAGGTTGTTACGCTGTTACGCTGTTACGCTGTTAGGTTGTTACGCTGTTAGGCTGTTACGCTGTTACGCTGTTAGGCTGTTACGCTGTTACGCTGTTACGCTGTTAGGCTGTTACGCTGTTACGCTGTTAGGCTGTTAGGCTGTTAGGCTGTTACGCTGTTACGTTGTTAGGCTGTTACTCTATTACGTTGCTACGCTGTTAGGCTGTTAGGCTGTGAGACTGTTAGGCTGTTAGGCTGTCACGCTGTTATGCTGTTACACTGTTTGGCTGTAAGGCTGTTAGGCTGATAGGCTGATACGCTGTTACGCTGTTAGGCGGTTAGGCTGTTAGGCTGTTACGCTGTTAGGCTGTTACGCTGTTACGCTGTTACGCTGTTACGCTGTTACGCTGTTAGGCTGTTACGCTGTTACGATCTTATGCTTCTAGGCTGTTAGGTTAATTAGGCTGTTACGCTGTTAGGCTGTTAGGCTGTTACGCTGTTACGCTGTTCGATGTTACGCTGTTAGGCTGTTACGCTGTTAGGCTGTTAGGCTGTTACGCTGTTACGCTGTTACGCTGTTACGCTGTTACGATGTTACACTGTTAGGCTGTTACCCTGTTAGGCTGTTAGGCTGTTAGGCTGTTAGGCTGTTACGCTGTTATGCTGTTAGGCTGTTAGGCTGTTACGCTGTTACGCTGTTAGGCTGTTAGGCTGTTACGCTGTTACAATGTTACGCTGTTATGCTGTTACGCTGTTACGCTGTTAGGCTGTTATGCTGTTACGCTGTTACGCTGTTACGCTGTTAGGCTATTACGCTGTTAGGCTGTTACGCTGTTATGCTGTTAGGCTGTTACGCTGTTACGCTGTTACGCTGTTAGGCTGTTACGCTGTTACGCTGTTACGCTGTTAGGCTGTTACGCTGTTAGGCTGTTAGGCTGTTAGGCTGTTATGCTATTACGCTGTTACGCTGTTACGCTGTTAGGCTGTTAGGCTGTTACGCTGTTAGGCTGTTACGCTGTTAGGCTATTACGCTGTTACGCTGTTACGCTGTTAGGCTGTTACGTTGTTACGATGTTACACTGTTAGGTTGTTACCCTGTTAGGCTGTTAGGCTGTTAGGTCGTTATGCTGTTACGCTGTTATGCTGTTAGGCTGTTAGGCTGTTACGCTGTTATGCTGCTAGGCTATTAGGCTGTTACGCTGTTACAATGTTACGCTGTGACGCTGTTACGCTGTTAGGCTGCTACGCTGTTACGCTGTTAGGCTGTTACGCTGTTACGCTGTTAGGCTGTTACGCTGTTACGCTGTTAGGTTGTTCCGCTGTTACGTTGTTAGGCTGTTACGCTGTTAGGTTGTTACGCTGTTACGCTGTTAGGCTGTTAGGCTGTTAGGCTGCTATGCTATTACGTTGTTAGGTTGTTAGGCTGTTACGCTGTTAGGCTGTTAGGCTGTTTCGCTTTTACGCTGTTACGCTGGTACATTGTTATGCTGTTAGGCTATTACGCTGTTACGTTACTAGGCTGTTAGGCTGTTACTCTGTTAGGCTGTTAAGCTGTTTGGCTGTTACGCTATTACGCTGTTAGGCTGTTACGCTGTTAGGCTGTTAGGCTGTTACGCTGTTACGCTGTTAGGCTGTTACGCTGTTACGCTGTTACGCTGTTACGCTGTTACGCTGTTAGGCTGTTACGCTGTTACTTTGCTAGGCTGTTAGGCTGTTACGCTGTTAGGCTGTTATGCTGTTAGGCTATTATGCTGTTACGTTGTTATGCTGTTATGCTGTTAGGCTATTAGGCTGTTAGGCTGTTAGGCTGTGAAACTTTTAGGCTGTTAGGTTGTTTGGCTGTTACGCCGTTACGCTGTTACGTTGTTAGGCTGTTAGGCTGATTGGGTGATACGTTGTTACGCTGTTTGGCTGTTACACTGTTAGGCGGTTAGGATGTTAGGCTGTTACGCTGTTAGGCTGTTAGGCTGTTACGCTGTTAGGCTGTTAGGCTGTTACGTTGTTAGGCTGTTACGCGGTTGCGCTGTTAGGCTATTACACTGTTACGCTGCTAGGCTGTTAGGTTGTTAGGCCTGTTAGGCTATTTGGCTGTTACGCTGTTGCGCTGCGCTATTATGTTGCTACGCTGTTAGGCTAGTAAGCTGTTGACGATGTTAGCTTGTTAAGTTGTTAGGCTGTTACGCTGTTAGGCCGTTCCGCTGTTACGCTGATACGCCGTTACATTGTTAGGCTGTTGCGCCGTTAGTCTGTTAGTTGTAGTGGTAATAGTGATGGTAATGATAATGGTATTGATAGTCATAATGGTAATGGTAATGGTAATGGTAATGGTAATTGTAATGGTAATGGTAATAGTACTGATAATGGTAATGGTAGTGGTAATGGTAGTGGTAATGGTAATGGTAATGGTAATAGTAATGGTAAGAGGTAATGGTAGTGGTAATGGTAATGGTAGTGGTAATGGTAATGGTAGTAGTCATGGTATTGATAATATTAATGATAACGGTAATGGTAGTTGTAGTAGCTATGTTAATGGTAATGGTAATGGTAATGGTAGTGGTAGTGGTAATGGTAATGGTAATGGTAATGGAAATGATAAATGGTAATAGTAATGGTAATGCTAGTGGTAATGGTAATAGTAATGGTAATGGTAGTGGTAATGGTAATGATAATGGTATTGGAAATGGAAATGATAGTGGTAATGGTAATGGTAATGGTAATGGTAATGGAAATAATAATGACAATAGTAATGGTAGTGGTAATGGTAATAGTAATGGTAATGGTAATGGTAATGGTAATGGTAATGGTAATGGAAATGGTAGTGGGAGTGGTAGTGGTAGTGGTAATGGTGATGGTTATTATAATGGTAGTCGTAATGGTAATGGTAATGGTAGTGGTAGTGGTAATGGTAATGGTAATGGTAATAGTAATGTTAAGCTGTTACGCTATTACGCAACAGCCCAACAACCCAACAAGCATTACCATTACCATTGCGCTGTTGCGCTGTTGCGCTGTTCTTTAAACGCTATGGCGTGCCGAGGAAACACAGCAAGTGCCACGATAAAGGGGACGGGGCGAGGCGAGGGGCGGGGGAGGGGAGAGGGGAAGATAGAGGGGAGGGGAGAGGGGAAGATAGTGGGGAGGGGAGAGGGGAAGATAGTGGGGAGGGAAGGGCGTTAATGCAGATTGATACGGCCGTTCATTTTGTAACCGTCCTCGTTTGTCTTTGTATCTCCAACAGCTGTGGCGGACCGAGGAAGCGCAGTGAGTGCCACCATAAAGGGGACGACGGCGAGAAGATGGGAGGGGGAGGCGTGCTGTGGTCGTCACTCCACCCGGATGGTCTCTGCTGCCCGCGCTGCCCCTTCTGCGTGCTCTTCCCCTGCCTCTCAAAGCTGCAGCAGGTGAGTCATGTTGAGAATGCTGCTGTCTCTCTGAGTCATGTTCAGATGCATCTCACATTCAGAATGCATGGATTCTCCTCTGCATCTCACTCCACCTGTACTCTCTCCAGACCATCAACCATCTGGAGTTATTAAAGCCCGATCCCAGGGAACCCCCCGACAATCAGGCCAGAGATCTCCTTCCACCTTCGTTGGATCTCAACCCTACCTCTTTCATAAACCCTGTACCTTGTCATGCTTCATGTTCTCTCTCCTCCTCTCCTTCCTCTACGCTCTCCCGACCAGCAACCTCTGGAGCTGTTAAAACCCAATCCCAGGGACCCCCCGGACAAGCAGGCCCGGGATCTTGTGTTCTCCTGCAGTGCATCTCAACCCTGAACCCCATTTTCAACCCTGCTCCATGCCCCTCTTTCTGTTCTCTCTCCTCCTCTCCTTCCTCTCCTCTCTGCAGATCAGCAACCACCTGGAGCTGCTAAAGCCAAATCCCAAAGACCCCCCCGACAAGCGAGCCAGGGATCTCGCGTTCGCCAGGCTGGCGCTCCCTTCTCAGCCCGCTTCCATACCCCTTTTCCCATTCTCCCTTCCTACTCTGCAGATCAGCAACCATTTAGAGTTGTTAAAGCCAAATCCCAGGGACACCCCTGACAAGCAGGCCAGGGATCTCGCGTTCGCCAGGCTGGCGCTGGCCGGCGATGCTGACCTGGCGGGCGGCGTGCGGGCGGCGAGTGATCTGCTGACACTTGGCAGTAGCGCGCACTGTGGGAAGCTGAGGGCGTTGGATCGGCTGCTGAAGCAGTGGTGTGGGAGTGGGGATAAGGTGCTGCTGTTTAGCCACTCAGTCAAGTGAGTCAAAGCAAGTCAAACAAGTCAAGTGAGAGTTTGTGTACTCATTCAAACTGAGTAGAGCACTGTGGGAAGCTGAGGGTGTTGGGTCGACTGTTAAGCCAGTGCTGTGGGAATGGGGATAAAGCTTTGCTGTCCAGCCACTCGGTCAAGTGAGTCAACGCAAGTCAAGTGAGAGCTTCTGTAGAAAGTCAATTCAAGTCTAGCAGATTGGGAAGCTGGTGTTGGGTCGGCTGTTGAAGCAGTGCTGTGGGAGTGGGGACAAAGCGTTGCTGTTCAGCCATTCGGTCAAGTGAGTCGAACAGAGTCTGCTTGAGGATAATGTGTTGCCTTTCCCTTTAGAATATTGTCGTGCATACCTCACCTGTTTGCCTCGCCTCCTGCTCTGCGCCCCCTTCCCCCCTCGTCTCAGAATGCTGGACGTGCTTCAGAGGTTCCTAGAGGCCAGAGGGATTTCCTTCTCTCGACTCGACGGTTCTACCTCCACAGCCACGCGCCAGGCCCTCGTGCATAGCTTCAACTCCAGCCCTTCTATACAGGTAGGAACGTACGTCGGTTTTCCTTCTCAACACATCTTCCCCTCTTCGTGCCTTGGCGATTCCACCTCCACAGCAACATGGGCTGGCTCTCGTGCACAGCTTCAACTCCACCCCTTCTATACAGGTGGCGCTCACTTTTTTTTCCATTCAAACGCGCATACCTCCTGCCTTGACGGCTCCACCTCCACATTCGTCATACCCGGTATTGTCTTGTTCCTTCCCCTCTCCTCTCCCTCCAGGTGTTCCTCATTTCTACCAAGGCAGGTGGGATCGGTCTAAACCTCGTCAGCGCCAACCGAGTCATCATATTTGACCCTACATGGAACCCTGCTCACGATCTACAGGTAAGCGAAATCCTTTAATCCCAAATAGAAGTTCGAATCCAGCTCACGATTTACACATGGATTCCACATGTATCCACACAGGAAGATCCCGCATGGATGTGTCTGGGAACCCGGCACATGGCTCTCACCATCTGCACGCTTTTCAACCACTTACTTTCCAACTGCCCTTGCCTCCCTCGCTGATTCCAGGCTCAAGACCGTTTAGGTGGTGGTGGGGGGGACGGTGGAGGAGGTGGTGGTGTATCTGCCGTCCTTTTGATTGTTCCCATCACTCCCCCCCTTCTACATGCTCATTCCCACTCACAGGCTCAGGATCGCTCCTTCCGCTTCGGCCAGACAAGGCATGTATCAGTATACCGACTGGTGGCGGGTGGGACGGTGGAGGAGGTGGTGTATCTGCGACAGGTGTACAAGCAGCAGCAGACCAACATTGCGATCGAAGGGGCTTCAGAAGAGCGATATTTCACAGGGGTGCAGGTGGGTGTGTACACGGGAAGGGAAGAGGAGGGGGGGAGGGTGAGAAAGGACAGTGGAGGAGGTGGTGCATCTGCGCAGGTGTGTAAGCAGCAGCAGACCAACATTGCGATCGAAGGGGCTACGGAGCAGCGATACTTCACAGCCGTGCAGGTGGGTGTGAGGGGAGTGGAGGAGGGAAGGGGAGAAGGAGGGTGGGGAAGTATGCGGGTAGTCTGCGATTCTGTCAACTCCCTTATGTGGCAGTCCTCTCCTTTCTATCCCTCTTTTTTTGTCTCTCGCTCAGGGCTCCAAGACCCACCAGGGGGAGCTATTTGGAGTTGCAAATCTGTTTCAAGACCACAGCACTAGTATTTTGTCAGCGGAGATCATAGGCAAGGCTGCGAGACAGCCGCAGCAGCAGCAACAGTGGGAGAAGCAACGGGAGGAGCAGGAGCGTGAAGAGTTTAGAAAGCAGGAGGATCAGGAGGAATGTGAGGCGGAGAAAGAAGTATTGGCAAAGAAACAACAGCTGGAGGAGGTGGGAAAGAGGGATGGGAAGTCAGCTATGCTGGGAAGGCAGCAGTGTGATTCGGAAAAGGGCGGCGATGATTTGCTCGTTGTGCAGGTGCCTGCTGGGACACCTGGGTTTTCTCCTGAAGTGCCTGGCATATTATCTGAGGGCGAAGTGCTCCGCTTGGCTAGAAAGGAAGACGAGTTGCTGGTGAAAGCCGGTAGGGCGAAGGGGAGGAAGGATGACGAGGAGGACAATGGGGTGAGTGGGCTGGCGAGATTCGTTGAGGAGAGAGAGGCGCCTGGTGTATGGAAGCAGAAGGGCAAAGGGAGAGGAAGGGGGAGGTGTGAGAGGAGGATGGGAAGAAAGGAGGGTAGGGAGGGGGACGAAGGTTTGGATGGGAGAGGAGATGGAGATGGGGAGGAGGAGGAAGAGGATGAGATTGAGGATAGTGGAGGAGAGAGTGAGGGTGTGAGGGGGGAGCAAGGAGGACAGGAGGGCATGGGTATTCATCCACATGGCATGGGCCATGATGCGCATGGCATGGGTCATGATGCACATGGCATGGGGTTTATACCAGACGAGCTTCTCGATGCTGGTGTGGCATACACCCATGTGAATGATGACGTCATCAGGGGCCACCATGGAATCAGGACCGTTGCGCCATTGGCTGCTGTACTGTCGGATGATCGTCCAACCACCAAGACCCTCCTTCTGTCGCGCCTTCCTCCTGCCTCAGTCACGCCCTCCACTTTGTCACATTCCATAAAGGAACGAGATCGGGCGGCAGGATCAGTGAAGAGGAAGAGGAGCGGGGCAAGGACGGGAGGTGGGGGGAAGAGTGGAGTGGTGGATAAGGGCGGTGGTGGAGGGAAGAGGAAGGGAGATGCACACAACGAGCAGCCAAAAGGGTCGAATTCTTGGAAAAGGAGTACGGAGGGCGGAGGGGAGGCTTCAGCAGGGCGGCAACCACCGCGACAGCTCCTCAAGCAACGAGTGGAGGCATGCCAACAGAAGCAACACCCAGTGGCATCGACGAATGTTAAGGCAGAAGTGTTTGCGCGCATGGCTGCTTGGGCTGGGGAATCGAGTGGAGAGGAGTTTTCAAAGAAGATACTGCAAATGAGTTCTGAGGAGAGAAAGCAAAAGCTAGCCGAGTTTAAGGCATGGGATGCTGCAAGGAGCTATCAAACAAAGTGATTGCTCGTTTGTATATATGTGGGTAGTTGAGGTATTTCAGTGTATTATCAGGTTGCATAATAGCGAAGACGAATGAGCTATCTTCAAGAAGCGAAACTGGGGCAATCTGAATGCATCGCGAAAGAGGAGCCCTGATTGGCTGCGCGGCCCTTTCTCCACGTAGCTTGGAGCCTCCAGTCGCCGTCGTGGCGGTCACTAATTCGATGTAGAATTCCCGTCAACGTCCAGGGATCGCGAAAGTATCCGTCGCACGAGCCTTGACGAAAGAACTTGAACATGCTCCTCGGGTCGAGTGCCTCGGTCATTTCGTCAGTGTTACCAGGATTCGGCTTTATCGTCATTTTCAAGGCTCCTAGTTTCAACAACTCGTTTCTCCCCACACTGTTTGGGTGAACCCACACAGCCTCAAAATCCGTGCCTTCTAAGTTAGAGACAGCTTTAGTGTTTCCGAATCCATGGCGTCGAATGTCATGGGTTCGCTAAGGCTATCGCTCCTCTCAGCTCCAGCGCACGCTCCTCTGGAACTTAGCCAGAGCGAGTTCCTCCATTCTGGCCGAGCCTCTCAACGCCATCTGGTTCGGCTGGCGAAAGGTAACGAAAGGTCGGCGAAATGCCACTCTGTTCGCGAAGGTCGTAGAGCCACTGTCGACCCCTTGGCCGTCGCGATTAACGACCGCGTATCGGTAAATACTCCCTCTTCGTCTAGCAGATTCACTGAAACAGATGCGCCTGGTGAATCTCCTGGTAACTCGGGAACACACATTTCGCCAACCTCGCTCGAATGGCGTCCCGCGGAAAACCAGGACGCAGATTCTTCCGAGATTTCCACTTTCGTGCTGTCATCAAGACGAGACGGCGCGACGGTAAACGGAACGACGACGGAGGACGAGAAGGACAAGTCGGGATGGAGAACCCTGGCTGAAGGCCTGGAGCAATCTCCTGGAATCTTCGCCTCGCAAGCAGAAGCCGCCAAGGCTGCCGGCCAATCAGGCCGCCGCCGGCGGAGGAGCAAGATGTGGTCTCTGACCGAAAAGGGCTGGGTGCTTAAGACAACCCTACCTCGGCCTACTGCTAAACTATCGCAGGCTAGTTCAGGAGTTGATACTGCCGTTGCTGTTGCTGCTGCCGCCGTTGCGTCGCGGGAGGGTATTCTAGACGGGGTGGCTCTGGAGGAAAATGGGAGCACAAGAGCGGTGCAGCTCGGTGCTGAGCCGACTGCGTTCGGTTCGACGCGGTTCGAGTTGGTTGAGAAGCTCGAGGGGGAGGAGACGGCGGAGAGCAGTGCGGAGGACATGGAGCTTCCGATAGGGAGTGGCGGAGGACTCGAGGAGCGGAGCGGAATGGCCGCGCAGGAGAATGACATCGTCAGCGATTTCCTCCTCGAGTCGCGCATGAGCCGCGGAATCGGCAACGACGGTAGGTCGCACCGCTCGTTTCTGCCAGTGTTTAGGCTGCAAGCGAGCAGTGTCTGCTAATCCGTCAAATTTTAGCAACTTCGGTTAGCCTAATTCAGGCTGATTTCCACTGCTCCTATCGCGCTCGCGAACGTCGTTCTCCCGTTCGGCTGTCGCTTTTGCGTTCGCCGACTGGTTGAGTCTGTTTAATTATTTTGTTGCTTGATTCCTGCGCTCCCACTTTCAAATCTCAAAACCATTCTCGCTTTCCACGTCCTTTTTTTCGATTTTTTTTTTTCCTTTTTTTTTTCCCCTCCTCTCCCATACGTCACTTCTCTCTGCACCTCTCGCCCCTTCCTCTTTGGCCGTACTAGCCAAATTCCTCCCGAAGGACAACTATCCCCGTCTGTCCCTTTTCCATTCCCTTATCATATCCCGCACACCCCCCTCCACTCCCTTCCCCCCCTTCCACTTTCTTTCCCCCCGCCCCCCCCCCCCCGCCACACATCCCCCTTCCGCTCCGACCAGGCGGACTGAGCCAGCTTCCCCCCGGGGCGGCCGCGGCACTGCGCGGAGCGCTGCGGTGGGCTCCGCCCGCCCCGAAGAACGTCGCGCCCAAGCGGCTGAAGATCAACCTGGACCTTGACATCTACCGCGCGCGCAACCTGTTCCGCATCGGCAAGGCGCAAGACGCGGAAGGGCTCATGCGCAAGGTAGGCGGAGGGACGGGGCGAGGGGGCGAGGGGGCGGGAGGAGGGGGGAGAAATGGGCGGAAGGAGGGGGAAGGGTAGCTAAGGAGGCTGATTTGGAGGAAGGGAGAGGAACGAGAGGAGCGTCATGGCCCGCGCAGCAGTGCTTGCCTCACGAATGAAGTTCCTTAACGGCGGACAGACATTCAGACCCCGTCGGGACTCCACCCTCCCCCACCTCCTTCCGCTTACCACTCTCACCTTCCCCCTTCCGCTTTCGTTCACCCGCCCTTGTATCACACACACTGCAACGCTTCCCCCATCTCCCAGGCTGTGCGCGATTGGCCGGACGACGGGCGGCCGTACGTGGTGCTGGGGCGCATGCTGCAGCGGAAGGGGCAGGCTTTGTTCGAAGTCTACTCGTCCCTGCTTTACTTAACTTTCCCATTTCCCCTTTCCCTTTTCCCTCAAATTGCCCCAGGCTGTGCGCGACTGGCCGGACGACGGGCGGCCGTACGTGGTGCTGGGGCGCATGCTGCAGCGGAAGGGGCGGCTGGGGGAAGCGCGCCGAGTCTTTGAGGACGGCTGCCAGGCGCTGGGTGGCGATAACGCGTTCATCTGGCAGGTGTGCGGGGGGGGATAGGAGGTATTTTAGAGGGAAATCGGCAAGGAGGAAAACGGAAAGGGAAAGGGCCGGGCAAGGGGCGGGGTGGGGGGGGCAGGAGGGGGATGTGGGCTGGGGGATGCGCGCCGAGTCTTTGAGGACGGCTGCCAGATAACGCGTTCATCTGGCAGGTGCGGGTGGGTTGGGGAGGTTGGGGGGAAACGGGCAAGGGGAAGGGGAAGGGGCGTGTGGGGAAAGGGGAAGGGTGTGTGAGGGAAAGGGTGGGGCATAGAGGGGGGCAAGGAGGGGGTAGGGCATGGAAGGAGGAAGAGTAAGGACATGCACATTTTTCGTCTCTTCCCTCATTCACTACCTTTGTTGAATATCTGCCCTATGCCAAACTTGCCAGTTTCTATCTTTTTTCTCTACCCATCCCTTCTTCCTCGTCCACTTCCCTGCTCCCTCGCCCCAGTCCCTTCGCGTTCCCATTTCGTCTCTCGTTCATACCCTCCTCTCAACTCTCCGCCTCCCCCCCCTCTGCACCACATTTCACCGCTCTCCCCGTATTGATCTCCCCACGCGCAGACCTGGGCCGTGCTGGAGGCACAAGCAGGCAACGTGGAGAAGGCGTGAAAGCTGTTTGATGCTCTCACATTCACTGCCTCCCTCTCCTCTCCCCGTATTGATACCCCCCACCCAGACCTGGGCTGTTTTGGAGGCGCAGGCAGGCAACGTGGAGAAGGCGCGGAAGCTGTTTGACGCTGCCACAGTGGCAGATGAGAGACACGTGGCAGCATGGCATGGGTGGGCGGTTTTGGAGCTGAAGCAGGGGAATGTGCGCCGGGCGAGAGAGCTGCTGCAGAAGGGGCTGAAGCTATGCGGCGGGAACGAGTATATATACCAGGTGCGTCCTATAACGAGTACATTTACCAGGTGCGTTTTATAACGAGTATATACCATTCACGGAGGGTGGGTGGTCTGTAGCTGAAGCAGGGGAATGTGCGCCGGGCGAAGGAGCTGCTGCAGAAGGGGTTGAAGCTCTGTGGCGGGAACGAGTACATATACCAGGTGCGTCTTATAACGAGTACATGTATGCGTATCTTCAGACCCTAGCGGTGATGGAGGTGCAGAGTCGGTGTGTGGCGGAGGCTTGGCTCTGTTCCTGCAAGCAACGAGGATGAACGCCAAGAGCGCTGCCAGTCAGCAATGTTGTACTCACCCCCCAACACACATTCCAGTAAACCAGTTCCCACCCTTCAACCCCTTTTCACCGACCTTCACCCCTTCCTCATCAGACCCTAGCAGTGATGGAGGTGCAGAGCGGACATGTGGCGGAAGCAAGGGCGCTGTTCCTGCAGGCCACGAGAATGAACGCCAAGAGCGCCGCCAGCTGTGTTGTACACCCCGACAAACTATTGCCACCCCCTTACTCCCCTTCACCATGTGCCCCACTCCACCCCACCAGACCTTAGCAGTGATGGAGGTGCAGAGCGGGCGGGTGGCGGAAGCAAGGGCGCTGTTCCTGCAGGCCACGAGGATGAACGCCAAGAGCGCCGCTAGCTTTGTTCTAGGCACTACAACCATCTTGAAAACTAGCCCCAACCTTACTCCCTTTCACTGAACTTCACCCCGCTCCACCCCACCAGACTCTCGCAGTAATGGAGGTCCAAAGTGGACGTGTGGCAGAGGCACGGGCGCTGTTCCTGCAGGCCACGAGAATGAACGCCAAGAGCGCTGCCAGTTGGCTCGCATGGGCGCTGCTGGAGGCACAGCAGGGAGACGGCGCCTCTGCTCGCCTGCTCTTCCAGGTACGCTCTCCCCTGTACATTTGGCTCCTGGACTCACCCCCTCCAGCTTCTTTCTTGTGAGGAAGAACGCCACGAGGGGTTAGCTGGCTCTGCTGGCTTTTTCACCCTTCTTGCACCTTCCCTAACCCTCCTTACACCTCTCTCTCCCACTTGCCCACCTCTTCTCTTCCCCCATTCCTCCCCCCCCCCAGCGTGCCCTGAACGCCAGTCCCAAGAACCCCTACACGTGGCAGGCGTGGGGGTTGTTTGAGGCAGCGCAGGGGAGGTACGACCGGGGGAGGTTGCTGCTGCAGCGGGGGGCACAGCTCAACCCCAAAGACGCCGCACTGCTGCAGGCACTGGCTCTGCTGGAGTATGAGTGTGGCTTCACAGGCACAGCAAGGGAACTCTTCAGCCAAGCATCGCTTGTCGACCCCAACCACCAGCCTGTCTGGACGGTAAGTCTTCTCTGCTGCTTCAGCGGGGGGCACAGCTCAACCCGCACCCCAAGGACGCAGCACTGCTGCAGGCGCTGGCCCTGCTGGAGTACGAGTGTGGCTTCACAGGCACGGCAAGGGAATTGTTCAGCCAGGCTTCTCTCGTTGACCCCAACCACCAGCCTGTGTGGACGGTGAGTGGGGCAAGCAGGCAAAAAGGCAGGAGTTCCAAGCACAGCTCAACCCCAAAGACGCTGCGCTGCTGCAGGCGCTGGCCCTGCTGGAGTACGAGTGTGGCTTCACAGGCACGGCAAGGGAATTGTTCAGCCAGGCTTCTCTCGTTGACCCCAATCACCCGCCCGTGTGGACGGTGACTGGAGTGCAGTGCGGCATGAGGGGTGCTGAGGTGTGTTGAAAAGTGTAAGGGACCTGCACTGCTGCAGGCGCTGGCTCTGCTGGAGTATGAGTGTGGCTTCACAGGCACGGCGAGAGAGTTGTTTAGCCCAACCACCAACCTGTCTGGACGGTGAGTGGATGGGCGGTATGCAACCCACGCCCTGGTCGTGTCTGGGTGTGCGCTTGAGCATTCAAATGCTGCTGTAGGCGCTGGCTTTGTTGGAGTACGAGTGCGGCTTCACAGGCACGGCCAGGGAACTGTTCAGTCAGGCTTCTCTTGTTGACCCCAACCACCAGCCCGTGTGGACGGTGAGTGAGATGGGCTTTTCATGCTGTCTCATACATGAAACGAGACAGACTCGGGCGATGCGACTGGAATCTAATCTGCAACAGCAGCATTGCTGCACTTACGCAAACTCTGGCTCTGCTCTGCCTTCATCCTTTTCCCTCCGTCTCCTCCCTTCCCCACCTTCCTCTCCTCCTCCCGTCACCTCTCTTCTACCAGGCGTGGGGGTGGATGGAGTGGAAGGAGGGTTGAGTGCAGCGAGCTCTCGAGTTTATTCCAAGCCTCCCCCCCTTTTTTTTCTTACCTCCTCACACCCGTCCTTCACCCTCCCCAACTACCAGGCGTGGGGGTGGATGGAGTGGAAGGAGGGGCGGGTGCAGCGAGCAAGGGAGCTTTACCAGAGAGCAGTGGAGGTCAATGACTCCTCGCCCAACGCTGCCAGAGTGTTCCAGGTGAGTCAACAAAGTCAATTGCTGCCACTTTCTACACCCCCTCATACTAACACCCCTTGCCTGATGATCACTTCTTTTTCACCTCTCTCTCCTACTCCCACCCCCTCACCCCTCCCAGGCATGGGCAGTGCTAGAGGAAAGGGAGGGCAACATAGGGCTGGCACGAGCGCTGTTCAAGAGAGCACTGGCAGTAGACTCGGGCAACTCGGTGGTTGATTCACTGTGCATCCTGCACCCCCTCCTTCCCTTTCACCCCTTCCTTCCCTTTCACCCCTTCAGGCATGGGCGGTTCTGGAAGAGCGGGAGGGCAACATAGGGCTGGCACGAGCGCTGTTCAAGAGAGCACTGGCAGTAGACTCGGGCAACTCAGTGGTGTGGCGATCGTGGGCGGCCATGGAGGAGAGGCAGGGGAATGCCGTGCGGGCAGAGGAGCTGCGGCTCATGCGCCTGCAGCAGGTGGGTCACTCCTGTGGGTGGGATACTGCAGCAGGTGGGTCAGTGGTGTGGGTGCTTAGCTTCTCTGCAGCGGGTGGGTCACTGGTGGACTGTAGGGTAGACTCGGGGGACTCGGTGGTGTGGCGCTCGTGGGCGGCCATGGAGGAGAGGCAGGGGAACGCTGTGCGGGCAGAGTAGTTAAGGCTCATGCGCCTGCAGCAGGTGGGGCACTGGTGTGGGTGGGTGAGGGGATGCGTGTGAGGGTGGAGGGTGGGTGGGGGATGGAGGGTGGAGGTTGGTTGGTGGAGTGTGGGTGGAGGTGGAGGTTGGGGCTTTAAGGGGTGATCTAAGATGGTAGAGAGACATCATCGGAGCAGCCATCCCCCTGCCTCATCATCCTTTCGTTTGCCCCTGACCTGAACTCCCCTCTCCCCTCATCCAATTCCATGTCCTTCCCCCCACTCGCGTCCGCCCAACAGCACATTGAAGTAGTGGAGCCAATCATGTGGGTTCTAGGAAGCATTGTCAGGCCCGTCAACTCCTTCTCTCATTCATCCTATTCCCTGTCCCTCCCCCCACCCGTCACCTCACCTCTTCCAAGCAGCGCACTGAGGTGGTGGAGCCAACCTCGTGGGACCTAGGGGGGATCATCGGGCCAGCCATCGACCGCATGAAAGCCCTCTTCAGCCCCACACGGCCCCCTCTTCCCTTTGTTCTCTCCGACCAACAGCGCACTGAGGTGGTGGAGCCAACCTCGTGGGATCGAGGGGGAATCATTGGGCCGACCATTGATTGTACGAAAGCACTCTTCAGGCCCACACGGCCCCCTCTTCCCCCCTCTCACCCCTGCTCTCTCCCCTCCCCCCCTCTCCCCTCTTTCTTTGTTATCTCTGCCCAACAGCGCACTGAGGTGGTGGAGCCAACCTCATGGGACCTAGGGGGGATCATCGGGCCAGCCATCGATCGCATGAAAGCACTCTTCAGCCCCACACGCCCCATGCCATTCTCCTCCTCTCGAGCTGATGCTTCTACTAGCAGCAGCGGCGGGAGCAGCAGCAGCAGCAGTAGCAGTGGTACCAGCGGTGACAGCAGCATCAGGGAGGGTGCAAGCAGTGGTGGTGGTGGTGGAGGAGGGGAGGAAGCAGAGGTGGGATCTGCAACTCTTTTCGACGAGTATGGGGATGAAGTTGAGGAATTTGATGTTGATGGCTTTTTGGCTGCCCGGCTTCCAAAACAGTTCTCCAAGTTGTTGGATGATGTGGATGGGGTGGGGAAGAGCATTTGGAGGAAACCAATTAGTACTGAGGGTATGCGGCAGAGAAGGTTTACGGGGGAGTATGAGAAGGAAGCAGATCCAGGAGTGAGGGAGGCGACTTGAGTGGAGGGGTGTAGTGAGGTGAGAGGGAGGAATTTGGGGCTACTTACCGTAGTTGGTATTCGGTCATGTGTTTGCTGCTTTGCCTTGTGTGATAGGGAGAACTGCAGTGGCCAATCCTACTGGCTGCTGTTCCTGCGTGTTTGAACCAAGCATGACTGGTGTATGTGCTTTGGGATGAACAGTAATACAGCTTCTGCAGGCTCTTGTGGTAGAACACCAGTCATGGTACCAAGTGGCATACAGTGTCCAATGGATTTATTTGTTATAACACTGAGCATTAGCTCTGTTTGCATACAACCATCAGAGCCTTGTCGCGTCCACTTTCAGGGGTCCTGAAGCTGAGTACTAGATTAGTTGAAATTAGGGATAAATACTAGGAATTCATTTACAGTAACAGTCCAGGAGGTGCTTTTATTGGAGGCATACACTTCATGCAGAAACCCGCATTTCAATACTAGCCACAACCTACACCACACCAAACAAGATGCATGCGATGCAATCCTAAACCACCATCCATTCACTCCTATCGCTGAATAATCTGCACGGTATTTGTATCCGCGGCGTGCGGCATCCATACTTCCGTATTTAGGGTTCAGCTCCGCTTGAGAGCAGCAGAGTCAGATTCTTCGGCTCCGCGAGATGCGGCATCCAAATCCTCATTAGCAGAAGCATCTTCAAACAGAGAGCCGTCGATTTCTGTGATCGAGTGGCACCTCCTGTGACCCCGCACCGGCTTTGGTAGCGCAACCGGGGATTTAGCCGGACTATACCAGTACTTGCTGTGATGATGCTCGGCTATCCCGCCAAAAGAGCTTCTCCTCCATTCGCGCGGCGACGGAGACGGCGACGGAAAATGCTCCAGGGATTTACAATCACCGATTCTGGGGGTAATGTCACCGCCATAAGAAATGTCAGTAAATTCAAGAGTGAGATCCGAACCGCGGGCGATTCCCGGTTTCGTGGACCACGGGCCGCTGACACTCCAGAGTGACGTCACATCGGACACGCTCTGAGATCGACGGTGGTGGGGACGCCTCCGCGTGAGGGACTGAATCAGATCTCTGCTGGCGCCGCTGGTAGCGGTACGTAACGGATGAAATTCGTTGGTAAGCGCGGGTGGCGATTCTGAAGTGATTTCACAGAGGGGGAGTGGAGCGGTCGCGAAGTCGTCTGAAGCAGCAGGAGGAGCCATTGCGAAGCTGATTGGCTCCATGATGTGAGGCGGCGGCGAGGGCTGTTGCGCGAACGCCGATTGTGCCATGAATTTTTCGTCAGAGCCGCTTGGAAGGTTGAGCGAAATTCGCGAGAATTCGCGACCGCCACCGATAGCAAGCTTCAATCAATTCGGAAGCTAAAACGAGACAAGATTGTCTGTCGCTGAGGCGTTGAGTGACAGACCAAGAGAATACTTACAGAAAGTGGAATGAGTGCTGTGAATAGATGGCTGCTATTTATATTATGCGTGATGGTGAAGGAAGGTAAGGCGACTCTAAGTAAACCACAGTGTATGGTGGTGATAGGTACAGTACTGCTAGACCCGAACCACAGTGCGACTTACTGCTGACTGCTGTTGCATCATATCCTTTGCTGCCACATTCGAGTTACGACATCTGTCACAGGCTATGTTATGCCAGCCGCGGAAAGCCCGCTCATATTATGTTCTCGCGCCGACATAGGAGGCAGCAATAGTTTTGACGAATGAAGTGAAGTCTTAGGCGCAGGTACATGCTGTATGGTATGCGACGTAGTGTTGGTTGCCAGTCGGTCCTCTAGATTCCTCCATTCGCGCGATGTCCAGGATCCCCAGACAAGGGATGCGAGCAGAGGACAAAGATAGTTGCATGCGTGTGAATACGCCAGCTAGAAGGCAGGGAAGAATCCGCCATGGCTGCGTCCTCAGGCAGCTGCACCACAGCTAAGGCTCCTTTGTCGTGCTGCGCCGTGAGTGTCGGACTTTGATTTAGGTGACAAAAGCGCGTCTCACAAAATCCGCCTTTTGTGCGGTTCAGGGAGGATTCAGTGTTGCGTTCCGTAATTGGCCTGTATTCCTGGTTCATTCTGCGTTTGTGCCCTAAACTCTCCCTCACAGATGCACGGCAGAGGTACACTGTGCAACTTCTGTAGTGATGCTGGTACACGTACACTGTACGTACGATTTCTCTGCGTGTCAACCTCGTGACAGAAGCTTGACCGAGAGCGAAACAAAATTTGACTCCCAAGTTCCCAACTGTGGGTCTAGGAATTTTCAAGGCCGCCCTTTTCTGCATCTTGCCCTCGAATCCCGCGAGATCCCTTCAAAGTGGGAATGTGCGGGCTCGGACACAATAAAGACAAATTCAAGAGGACTGCCCTGGACGAAGGGTTACAGTTCTCGGGGACCTCTCTTCCGTTTCGCCCGTCTATCCGTCAAATGGCTTGCCTTGCCAGCAGTCACATTCTAGAAGCCCAACGAACTTGTAAGCAGCATGAACTCGGTCGGGAGTGTGGGAGGTGTGGTGGTGCAGGTGGGGGTGAACTTAGGGTGTTCTTTTTGACGGAGCTCGGTACACCCCACAAAGAAAATCGATTCCAGTACAAGCCACAACGTCACCTCCACAAAGCTACACGCGCATGTGACCTTCGGAAACATAAACTCATATGGCAAATCAATATTCAACCCCTACCCTCTCCTTTAGCCATCCTTCAGCCCAGCACCTCATCCCGTGGTTTTCCGAAGTCTTCAAACAGAGATCCATCAATCTCGCTGATCGAATTATACCTCCTGTGACTCCTCACCGTCCCTGGCTGCGTAGTAGGTGATTTGGAAGGACTAGAATGCTTAAAACTGCTGACTTGGCCAGATAGGGTTTCTCCTCCAGTGAACGGCGTCTTCAGATGCGGTCTCTCCAGGCAGGTACTATCGTCTATACCGGTGCTATTGTTAGTTTTGGTCGTCGTAACTCCTGTTCCGCGGCTTCCTGCCTTCACAGACCATCGGCTGCTGTTGTTCCACAGCAACGTCGCGTCGCATCCGCTCCGTGATCTACGGTGATGGGAAGATCTTGTAGGAGCGCCGTTGGATTGGGTCGCTGGTTCTGGAGCGTCGGCGTCGCTGAGCCGTTGCCGCGGCCCATAGCCGAGACTGCCTTGCTGTGATTGCCGAGAAGCTTCCGCCGGAGCTGATGTAGTAGTCACTGTTGCAAAGGTGAAATTTGCCATGGCGTCACTGGCGTGCGGGAACTGTCGTTGCTCTGACGCCGAGTGGTTATTTCGTCCGAGACCAGAGTTCGTTACTAGCTCCCAGCCGCGCTCGCGTCGACAAGCGTAAGCGGAAGAAATGCGTCCTTCGAACCTGTAACTAAATAAGAAGTTATTTTTCGTTCGCCGACTGAAGCTGGGGTTGGGAGGGTCACTGGTCTTGAAGAAACCGATCGCATTGTTGCGAGAGGGCTGGGATCGACGCGACAGACACAGTGCTTACGCCCTCGCCAAGATTTTCGAGATTCTCCCATGGCGCTTAGTTGTGGATAAGTATGAGGCTGATGCAAGGATGATATGACGATACAAGGCTATACTGTAGTATGCGAGAAGAAACCTTGCAGCATTCATAGCAAACAGTGGAGTAGTAGAGCTGCGGAGCTGGAGCCATGGTGGCCGCAATGAAAGCGCGTTGCTGCCGTTGTGTGGAACTTACGGAACGCTGGCCTCGTCATTCTGCTCCAGCCATATTCCAGCCGTATTCCAGCCGTGCCGTGTTATGCTCAATCTCTGGCCTTAAGGTTCGACTGTCGTTTTTCAAGACCCGCCACCTCCCGCCCATTGGTCCCACGATTTCCACGCGTTTCCCAGCTCCATCCAAATCTCACTTGCTGTTCTGTTTTACAAACGTGACAAATAGAACAGTGCAAACGAGTGCTGTGATAGGTGGAACATGCTCCAGGCGATTTTCCCATATCCTGATTGTAAAAACAGTGTACAGTAAGAAAACTATGTAAGGCCGCCAACTTAGATATCCTTTCTTTTTACTTCAAGGTTTCAAAAGATATCAATACGGTGCAGTATTACTGTACAACGGTTCCCAACCAAAAAGCTCGTACAGTTGACATGTGAAGTTCCACAGGCAGGGTAAAGGTCCGAATTGGTGAAGCTCCATAGTGTCCGATAACTTGAATCTCTGCTTTAGTCACTTGCCAGTTTGAATTTGTCACAGGAGTGACTAAGATTCCTATTTGTTAATTTCGCATGCGCATTACTAAAGCAAGCTGAGGGGATTACAATACATTCTGTATTATGTTTTGAAACGAGGAGGGTGTGAAGCTTCTTACGTCTGAAGCGCACCACAACTTGTATCGAGTATAAATCTTGTGTTGACCGCTGCAGAATTGCTGGAAAGGGATCCTGCAAAAACAGATGAGGCGTTTTGGAGTGTTCCGACGAGACAATTTCATATATTCGATTCGTTCGTTGCTGTTCTTAGAGCGTGTTACGTACCCCTCATTTTGGTGCAAGGCCCAGGTTGCCTGTAAAAGTCGACCCAACCTGACTGGTCGGTTGGACAGGTGGGCGGTTGGGTACCAGCAGGCAACCGGGGAATGTACCACCCGCCTGTTTTCGGGACCCAATCATTCCAATAGTATTGTGGGCAGACCCAACAGTAATTTTGCCAATGATATGCACCGAATATTCCAGGTTTATTTTTGTGCACCAGTCGCGTCGTCTCCCGCCAATGTGTCACCTGCCCACAATTTTACTGTACCACCGGTTGGCGTGCAGTTGGGTACGTTCGCGGCTGGTCGCTTCGACTGGTTGGAAGTGGGCGGGACCATACGGTTGCGTAGACCACCTGGTCGCCTCGACCAGGTGTGAGATTGCTCTGGTACACACGTCCATTACTGTACACTGTACAGCCTATGGTAATCTGGTAACCCTACTGGTCTACCCAACCCGACCGTTCGAGGCAACTCGACCAGGCACCAAAAAGAAGGGTACGTAACACGCTCTTACGGCTGCCAGCTACTCAAGCCCCCTCGGCTGGCACGCCTGATGCTGACATGGCAAGGGATGCACTTGTGCGAATGACGGACGTCAGGAAAAAAAAACCTTGTTGTGATTCCCCGTAGCCATCTCGGCTGGCCAACGTGATACGAAAGCCCATGTAATTCGGTAACCTGCGTCGCACAGCTTTCCCTGCACGTCGTACACTGCCTCGTTCGTACAACGTTCTACGAAGAATAACCTCCTATTTCTACCCTCCTACCATATCTCCGAATATGAATATGTTCGTTCAACATTGGAGTTGCTTCCGTAGATTCCTCGCTCGTCATATCTCTTTAAACGCATTAGGGTTGCGCCATGGCTGTCGCGTTATGCGGATGTATCGGTAGCAGTACTTGTAAAGTTGATTTGCTCCTCCAGCGCCAGAAATTTTCCGTGCGTCGCGCTCATTACGCGAAATCACCGCCTCTCCTTCGTCCTTTGCGAGTCGATGGTTCAGGAATTCGGACCGTGAGGATCAGGAAACATCATGAACCGCGACAGCAGTGTTACGCGTCTCTTGATTTTTCGCCATCGCCAAACCACGAGGTGGTTTGTAACACCGTTACCCGAACGCGTTATCACGAGGCTCCTCATCCCGTTAGCGACAAAGGTTACCGTCGCCTAAACCGTTGCCAAGCACACTCTGCAATTCCCGTAACCAGCGATCTAGACTCTTCGCCTAGCGAAACAGAGACAGTTACCACCAAGGCGTTACGACTCGTCGTCCCGCTGGTGGGACTCGCAGCTCTGGCAGCCGGCGTCAGGGCTAACTGGCGATTCTTCAGCAGCGAAAGGTTCTTGACGATATTGGCGAAATTGATTGGTTACATCATAGTCACCGCATCGACGGTGGTGAAGCTTCCTCAGGTGCTGATCTCGACCGCTGCTGGTACTTTCGTTACTCGCTCACTCTTTATAAAAAGCCTTAGACTGATAAGCCTCGCAATTGTGCCGAGTCTTCGCGGTTTCGCTCGTCATACACTTGCATGTAGATCATTGCTGTATTGCTGCGTTACCCCTCCCCTGCTCGTAGATCATCTGCATAGTGCGGAGCAGGAGCATTGAGGGGTTGAGCGTGCCAGCGTTCGAGTTGGAGTGCCTGGGATACACCGTCCTACACCGTCCTACACCGCACTTATCACTGCTGTTCCTCTGCTCTTCTTCTCTTCTGCATGTAGATCATCCCCATAGTGCGGAGCAGGAGCATCGAGGGCTTGAGCGTGCCAGCGTTCGAGTTGGAGTGCCTGGGCTACACCGTCTCGCGTGTGATGAGACCATCTTTGAGTCGACTTAAAAATCGAGCCCTAAGCTTCACCGTCCTACACCGTACCACATCGTACTAACTACTGCTACACTGCTGTTTGTTGTGCTCACCTGTTCACAGATTGTGCGTATTGTGCGGAGCAGGAGCATAGAGGGGTTGAGCGTACCAGCATTCGAGTTGGAGTGCGTGGGCTACACCGTCTCGCTGCTCTTCTGCTGGACTCGCCGCGTGCCCTTCAGTGCTTATGGCGAGCTCTTGTTCCTCGTGCTCCAGTGTGAGTCACCACCTGAATGTGTGACTGTAACGAGCTGGAGTGCCTTGAGTACACCATCTCTCTGCTCTGTTGCTGGTCCTCACTGCGTGCCCTTGAGTGCTTATGGCGAACTCTTGTTCCTCGTGCTCCAGTGTGAGTCACCACCTGCGTCTGTGACTAAACCTCAATATGAGTCAGCTGTGTGATTGTAACGAGCTCTTCTTCCCTTATCCTCCAATGTGAGACTCGCTTGGTGTGCTTATAACGAGTGACCTTTCCGGATTTTTTATACGACCTGAGTTTGCTTCGAACTCTGTCGATTTTCCCTTCCTCTGCTTCCGTGGTTTTCCTGTACACACACCACCATCACAAGTGATAAACTCCCCCCTTTCATTCTTTTTATAGTTCCCGTCCTTCCCATTCCCGTGTGTTTCGTTTCTCTGCAGCTGTAATTCTCATGCTGCTGATTTACTACCATTCCCCAAGGCTGGGCCGCCAAAGATATCTGAGGACTGGCATGTGCGTCTAAACACACCCTAAGTCTACTCCCAAGCTTTATTCACCTGTTCATTTACCGCCGCTTTCCAAAGCTGGGTTTGCTCATCAAATATTTTAAGATTTCGTTGGGTTTTGAGACGCCTCAAACCCCAATCCAAATCCCAAGCCCAATCCCAAGCCCAATCCCAATCCCAAGTCCAATCCCAAGCCCAATCCCAAGTCCAATCCCAAGCCCAATCCCAATCCCAAGTCCAATCCCAAGCCCAATCCCAATCCCAAGTCCAACCCCAAGCCCAATCCCAATCCCAAGTCCAATCCCAAGCCCAATCCCAATCCCAAGTCCAATCCCAAGCCCAATCCCAATCCCAATCCCAATCCCAAGTCCAATCCCAAGCCCAATCCCAATCCCAAGTCCAATCCCAAGCCCAATCCCAATCCCAATTCCAATCCCAAGCCCAATCCCAAGCCCAATTCCAATCTCAAGTCCAATCCCAAGCCCAATGCCAATCCCAAGTCCAATCCCAAGCCCAATCCCAATCCCAAGTCCAATCCCAAGCCCAATCCCAATCCCAAGTCTAATCCCAAGCCCAATCCCAATCCCAAGTCCAGTCCCAAGCCCAATCCCAATCCCAAGTCCAATCCCAAGCCCAATCCCAATCCCAAGTCCAATCCCAAGCCCAATTCCAATCCCAATCCCAATCCCAAGTCCAATCCCAAGTCCAATCCCAAGTCCAATCCCAAGCCCAATCCCAATCCCAAGTCCAATCCCAAGCCCAATCCCAATCCCAAGTCCAATCCCAAGCCCAATCCCAATCCCAAGTCCAACCCCAAGCCCAATCCCAATCCCAAGTCCAATCCCAAGCCCATCCCAATCCCAAGTCCAATCCCAAGCCCAATCCTAATCTCAAATCCAACCCCAAGCCCAATCCCAATCCCAAGTCCAATCCCAAGCCCAATCCCAATCCCAAGTCCAATCCCAAGCCCAATCCCAATCCCAAGTCCAATCCCAAGCCCAAGCCCAAGCCCAATTCCAATCTCAATCACAATCCCAAGCCCAATCCCAATCCCAAGTCCAATCCCAAGCCCAATCCCAATCCCAAGTCCAATCCCAAGCCCAATCCCAAGCCCAATCCCAATCCCAAGTCCAAGTCCAATCCCAAGTCCAATCCCAAGTCCAATCCCAAGCCCAATCCCAATCCCAAGTCCAATCCCAAGTCCAATCCCAAGTCCAATCCCAAGCCCAATCCCAATCCCAAGCCCAATTCCAATCCCAAGTCCAATCCCAAGCCCAATCCCAATCCCAAGTCCAATCCCAAGCCCAATCCCAATCCCAAGTCCAATCCCAAGCCCAATCCCAATCCCAAGTCCAATCCCAAGCCCAATCCTAATCTCAAATCCAATCCCAAGCCCAATCCCAATCCCAAGTCCAATCCCAAGCCCAATCCCAATCCCAAGTCCAATCCCAAGTCCAATCCCAATCTCAAGTCCAATCCCCAGCCCAATCCCAATCCCAAGTCCAATCCCAAGCCCAATCCCAATCCCAAGTCCAATGCCAAGCCCAATCCCAATCCCAATCCCAAGTCCAATCCCAAGCCCAATCCCAATCCCAAGTCCAATCCCAAGCCCAATCCCAATCCCAAGTCCAATCCCAAGCCCAATCCCAATTTCAAGTCCAATCTTAAGCCCAATCCCAATCCCAAGTCCAATCCCAAGCCCAATCCCAATCTCAAGTCCAATCCCAAGCCCAATCCCAATCCCAAGTCCAATCCCAAGCCCAATCCCAATCCCAAGTCCAATCCCAAGCCCAATCCCAATCCCAAGTCCAATCCCAAGCCCAATCCCAATCCCAATCCCAATCCCAATCCCAATCCCAATCCCAAGTACAATCCCAAGCCCAATCCCAATCCCAAGTCCAATCCCAAGCCCAATTCCAATCCCAAGTCCAATCCCAAGCCCAATCCCAATCCCGAGTCCAATCTTAAGCCCAATCCCAATCCCAAGTCCAATCCCAAGTCCAATCCCAAGCCCAATCCCAATCCCAAGTCCAATCCCAAGCCCAATCCCAATCCCAAGTCCAATCCCAAGCCCAATCCCAATCCCAAGTCCAATCCCAAGCCCAATCCCAATCCCAAGTCCAATCCCAAGCCCAATCCCAATCCCAAGTCCAATCCCAAGCCCAATCCCAATCCCAAACCCAATCCCAAGCCCAATCTCAATCCCAAGTACAATCCCAAGCCCAATCCCAATCCCAAGTCCAATCCCAAGCCCAATTCCAATCCCGAGTCCAATCCCAAGCCCAATCCCAATCCCGAGTCCAATCTTAAGCCCAATCCCAATCCCAAGTCCAATCCCAAGTCCAATCCCAAGCCCAATCCCAATCCCAAGTCCAATCCCAAGCCCAATCCCAATCCCAAGTCCAATCCCAAGCCCAATTCCAATCCCAAGTCCAATCCCAAGCCCAATCCCAATCCCAAGTCCAATCCCAAGCCCAATCCCAATCCCAAGTCCAATCCCAAGCCCAATCCCAATCCCAAGTCCAATCCCAAGCTCAATCCTAATCTCAAATCCAATCCCAAGCCCAATCCCAATCCCAAGTCCAATCCCAAGCCCAATCCCAATCCCAAGTCCAATCCCAAGCCCAATCCCAATCCCAATTCCAATCCCAAGCCCAATCCCAAGCCCAATTCCAATCTCAAGTCCAATCCCAAGCCCAATCCCAATCCCAAGTCCAATCCCAAGCCCAATCCCAATCCCAAGTCCAATCCCAAGCCCAATCCCAATCCCAAGTCCAATCCCAAGCCCAATCCCAATCCCAAGTCCAATCCCAAGCCCAATCCCAATCCCAAGTCCAATCCCAAGCCCAATCCCAATCCCAAGTCCAAACCCAAGCCCAAGCCCAATCCCAATCCCAATCCCAATCCCAAGTCCAATCCCAAGTCCAATCCCAAGTCCAATCCCAAGCCCAATCCCAATCCCAAGTCCAATCCCAAGCCCAATCCCAATCCCAAGTCCAATCCCAAGCCCAATCCCAATCCCAAGTCCAACCCCAAGCCCAATCCCAATCCCAAGTCCAATCCCAAGCCCAATCCCAATCCCAAGTCCAATCCCAAGCCCAATCCTAATCTCAAATCCAATCCCAAGCCCAATCCCAATCCCAAGTCCAGTCCCAAGCCCAATCCCAATCCCAAGTCCAATCCCAAGCCCAATCCCAATCCCAAGTCCAATCCCAAGTACAATCCCAAGCCCAATCCCAATCCCAAGTCCAATCCCAAGCCCAATCCCAATCCCAAGTCCAATCCCAAGCCCAATCCCAATCCCAATCCCAATCCCAAGTCCAATCCCAAGTCCAATCCCAAGTCCAATCCCAAGCCCAATCCCAATCCCAAGTCCAAACCCAAGCCCAATTCCAATCCCAAGTCCAATCCCAAGCCCAATCCCTCCCAAGTCCAATCCCAAGTCCAATCCCAAGTCCAATCCCAAGCCCAATCCCAATCCCAAGCCCAATTCCAATCCCAAGTCCAATCCCAAGCCCAATCCCAATCCCAAGTCCAATCCGAAGCCCAATCCCAATCCCAAGTCCAATCCCAAGCCCAATCCCAATCCCAAGTCCAATCCCAAGCCCAATCCTAATCTCAAATCCAATCCCAAGCCCAATCCCAATCCCAAGTCCAATCCCAAGCCCAATCCCAATCCCAAGTCCAATCCCAAGTCCAATCCCAATCTCAAGTCCAATCCCAAGCCCAATCCCAAACCCAAGTCCAATCCCAAGCCCAATCCCAATCCCAAGTCCAATCCCAAGCCCAATCCCAATCCCAAGTCCAATCCCAAGCCCAATCCCAAGCCCAATCCCAATCCCAAGTCCAATCCCAAGCCCAATCCCAATCCCAAGTCCAATCCCAAGCCCAATCCCAATCCCAAGTCCAATCCCAAGCCCAATCCCAATCCCAAGTCCAATCCCAAGCCCAATCCCAATCCCAAGTCCAATCCCAAGCCCAATCCCAATCCCAATCCCAATCCCAATCCCAATCCCAATCCCAAGTCCAATCCCAAGCCCAATCCCAATCCCAAGTCCAATCCCAAGCCCAATTCCAATCCCAAGTCCAATCCCAAGCCCAATCCCAATCCCAAGTCCAATCCCAAGCCCAATCCCAATCCCAAGTCCAATCCCAAGCCCAATCCCAATCCCAAGTCCAATCCCAAGCCCAATCCCAATCCCAAGTCCAATCCCAAGCCCAATCCCAATCCCAAGTCCAATCCCAAGCCCAATCCCAATCCCAAGTCTAATCCCAAACCCAATCCCAATCCCAAGTCCAATCCCAAGCCGAATCCCAATCCCAAGTCCAATTCCAAGCCCAATCCCAAGCCCAATCCCAATCTCAAGCCCAATCCCAAGCCCAATCCCAATCCCAAGTCCAATCCCAAGCCCAATCCCAATCCCAAGCCCAATCCCAATCCCAATCCCAATCCCAAGTCCAATCCCAAGCCCAATCCCAATCCCAAGTCCAATCCCAAGCTCAATCCCAATCCCAAGTCCAATCCCAAGCCCAATCCCAATCCCAAGTCCAATCTCAAGCCCAATCCCAATCCCAAGCCCAATCCCAAGCCCAATCCCAATCCCAAGTCCAATCCCAAGCCCAATCCCAGGCCCAATCCCAATCCCAATCCCAATCCCAATCCCAAGTCCAATCCCAAGCCCAATCCCAATCCCAAGTCCAATCCCAAGCCCAATCCCAATCGCAATCCCAATCCCAAGTCCAATCTCAAGCCCAATCCCAATCCCAAGTCCAATCTCAAGCCCAATCCCAATCCCAAGTCCAATCCCAAGCCCAATCCCAATCCCAAGTCTAATCCCAAGCCCAATCCCAATCCCAAGTCCAATCCCAAGCCCAATCCCAAGCCCAATCCCAATCTCAAGCCCAATCCCAAGCCCAATCCCAAGTCCAATCCCAAGCCCAATCCCAATCCCAAGTCTAATCCCAAGCCCAATCCCAATCCCAAGTCCAATCCCAAGCCCAATCCCAATCCCAAGCCCAATCCCAAGTCCAATCCCCAAGATTGCTGGCTGGCTGGTCTCAGATATCTCTCCAAGAATTAAAGCACTCGTTGAGTATTAAAGATTTCTGGAGTTCCTATTGTCACCAGCCACATTGTCCCCCTCCTCTCCCCCCCAACCTCCCTCCCCCTCCACCCCATCAGCTACGTGGGCATGGCGGCCTTCCTCCTGTCACCAGCCATGTGCCCGGACTGGTTTGAAGCAGCACCTGTCCCTCCCTAACCCCCCCCCCCCCAACCTCTCTCTTTCCCCTTCCCCTTCCCCACCATGAGCTACATGGGTATGGTGGCCTTTCTCTTGTCACCAGCCATGCGCCCCCACTGCCTCGAGTCCGCATTATGCCTTGCCGTCTGCCCCCCACCTCCCTCCCCGTCCAACCATCCATCCCACCATCAGCTACATGGGCATGGTGGCCTTTCTCTTGTCACCAGCCATGCGCCTCCACTGGTTTGAAGCAGCCGCTGTCCCTCCCTAACCTCCCCCCCCCCAACCTCTCTCTTTCCCCTTCCCCTTCCCCACCATCAGCTACATGGGTATGGTGGCCTTTCTCTTGTCACCAGCCATGCGCCCCCACTGCCTCGAGTCCGCCTTATGCCTTGCCGTCTGTCCCCCACCTCCCTCCCCGTCCAACCATCCATCCCACCATCAGCTACATGGGTATGGTGGCCTTCCTCCTGTCACCAGCCATGCGCCCCCACTGGTTTGAAGCCCTCTATGTGAGTCATATCTGTGTAACAGTGGTGGGAGGGGAGGCGAGGGGGAGGGAGGAGTTCGGGGTTGGGGTTTCAGGTAGGTCATTCGTGTCTCACACTCTTGCTTACTTATTTCTGGTGCATGCATTTTTCTGGTGTTTTACATATTTCATGCTCAACACTCTGCTCCCCTTAACCAACTCTGCTTCTCCATGCTTTCCCTGTCGCTCTCCACCCACTCACGCACTTGCAGAATGGCCAAACGGCTGTCTTCACACTGTCGAGACTACCGCAGATGTGGGAAAACTTTGTGGTTCCTTCTAACGAAAACCTTGTACTCACTCCCCAAAAAGTCTGCTTCCAGTTCATTGAGTACAACCCCAAATTCTTACTCCCTCTCATCTACGCTCGATAGCAAGATAAGCCGCACTTCACATACCTCTCTTCTGCTGAAACCCTCCTCCCCTGACCCTTCCCTCCTTCTTGCCTCTCTCAGTCCTCTGGCACGGGGCAGCTTTCCCTCACCACCAGTGCCATGAGCGCAGCAGGCTGTGCAGGTCCGTATGTTGCTCTGTGCTTCTGCTCTTGTCATCTCTGCAATTTCCTGTGACTTCAGAGCGATTACATTTGAGTGATTTTCTTCTTTTTTTAATGATCGGCATTCACTCTCGCAGTGATGGTTTGTAACTGTCAATACGAGCGTTACGCTGAGAGCTAGTGTGCTGACATGACATCCCCAGTCCCTTCATTCTCTCTTCCGCTGTTTGCATCTACCACTCCTCTTCCCTCTCTGTGGTTGTGCCTTTGTCACTAACAGCCCGATTCTTCACCAGCATTCAAGAAAAAGCGCCATTCAGCAGTAAGTTTTGAGTTTGTTTCTTAATTAAATTTACAACCGGCAGTAAGCCTCGAGTCGTCTCAGAGCCATTATCAGCCCGATTCTTCACCTACATTCAAGAAAAAGCGCCTTTCAGCAGTAAGTTTTGAGTCGGATTCCTAACAGCAAAAGGATCCAGCCTGCACCAAGCTTTGAGACAACGTCCAAGTCGACTCAACATCAGCTTTTAGATTTCTCTTTTGGGCCATTAGAACCACCTGCCTATCTTGAACGACTGGTGGGCTGTCTGACTGTCCCCCTCCTCTCTCTTCTCTGCTCGCAGTGGTGATCGCAAGCTCGGCTGGCTTCTTAACTAACGGGTTCCTGGTCGCTCAGATCCTCGCTTACAGCAAGCCGGCAATCCAACCAACGCAGCAAACAGCGGCAGATACCACCAAGCAAGCAGCACTGGCAGGCAACCCAGCAGTGGACCTCCCTTCTACTGCATCAGAGTAAATTCATTCACCATGCATGTCGTAACGCATGGACTAAAAGCACTAGAAGGCAAATGTGTTTATGGAAGTTCCCGGTGTACTCTCCGTAGGATGTAAGAAGCTTGTAAATATCCCCGTATACTGTTTTATTTTCCCAACGTGGTAAGAATCACACATCTGAACTGTAATCGCAAAATCACCGTGTTATGTAAAAACGGGGTACCAAGCTTTCAAAACACTAGAAACGAGATTACTTGTTATGTCTCTCTCCCTTGAAACTGTCGCTTCATGTGGCCTGATGTTGGGCGATAACGGGGATTAATGCCACGTCAATATCAAGGTGCATTCCAGTCCCATTTTACATTGACCAGTCAGTCCATCCCTAACCACAATTCATGCGAGGGGAAATGGAAAAGCACCAAGCAGCGCTTTCCGCCTGCTCCGCTGCACCAGCTTCCGGTTTCTTTCCCCAAGCCATTCCGCGCGCGCGTCCCCCCGCGCTTCTCCGCGTTTCCCGACTCCCGCCGCGCCATCCGGCGCGGATCATTGTTTGTGGGAGTCAGCAAATTTTGCTCGCGCGTCTTCCGCTGCTATCCCTTTCCCCCACTCTTTCCCCTCCCCGCGCCATTTCTGCGCCGTCCTCTTCTCTCCGCGCTACCCGCGCGCCTCAAATCAGGCGGCGCGCGCGCGGAAGGGAAGCATCAGTGCGGGCGGAAGCAGTGACAGACGGTGGAGATTCGGTGGGAGATGGCGCGTCGGTGGAACAAACGGCTGCGATCGCGCGTCCCGCGATCAGGAAAATGGAGACCGGGAGGCGGGGCGCGAACGGAGCGCGGAGAGAAATCTGGAGGAGAGGAGGAGGGCGGGGGCCTGAGGGGCAGGAGAGGAAGGGGGGATGTGGGCCTGGGGAGGTCTATGAGGCGGGGCGGCGGGGCGCGAACGGAGCGCGGAGAGAAACCTGGAGAAGAGAAGGAGGGCAGGGGCGTCAGGGGGATTCTTCTGGCACAGGCGCAAGGATAAGGAAGGGGGCGGAAGGGGAAGAGGTAGCAGGGGCAGATGCAGGGACAAGTGCTCTTTCTTCGGTCACTGACCAGGAGTCTTGGCATCAGGAGCGCACTTTCCTGGCAACTTCGCCTGACTCTCTCACAAGTGACTCTAGAAGCTTCCGCGATGTTGCCGCCCACTGTGTCAGTAGATTCTCCCCTTTTCCTGCCCTACTCACCTCCATTCACTCCCTCCCTTCACTCTCTCCTCTCACTCCCTCCCCTCACTCTGGTCCCGAGCTCAACCTCTCCTCTTATGCCCTTCACTAATTTTCATCCCACTCGCTCCTCCTCTCTAATCCCCTTTCTTCCGCAGAGCCACCGCCTTCATATCGCCACCATTCCTTTTCCCACCTTTTTTTTCTTCTTTTTTCCCCGTGCTATTTCTCCTCATTCCGCCCGTCCTTGTTTCCCTCTCTATCACCTCTGGCAGGTGCAAGCGGTGCTGCTCACTCTCTCCCCCAACCGCCACAAACGCCAGAAACAGCAGCACCAGAAGCAACAGCAGCAGCAAGAGCGGAAGCAGGAGGGACGGTTGGACGTGAGGGCGCATGCAGACTGGCTTAGAAGCGATCACAGGCACTTTCATGCCGTTGCGAAGGTGCGTGGTTGGTGTTTGGGGATTCTCACAAACACCCTTCAATGCTTACAGGCTGGCTTAGGAGCGACCACAGGCATTTTCATGCCGTGGTGAAGGTGGGTGAATGCACCGAAGTGCCACCACAGGCACTGGCACTGGCTCTTAAAACATCACCTCATCTGACTTGCTAAGGATTGATCACAGGCACTTTCATGCCGTGGTGAAGGTGCGTGGGTGGGTACTCTGAAGTGCCACCACAGGCACTGGCAGGCTGGGTCATGTAACTCACCTCACGTGCGCACTTGCTTAAGAGCAATCACAGGCACTTTCATGCCGTGGTGAAGGTGGGTGGGTGGGTAACTGGGGATATGCTGTGCTCTCTCTGTCGTCTCTGCTGCCTTAGCGGGTGATTAATCAATCATTATGCATCATATTAACATCTTTGCCTCTCCTTCAAATGTAATGGAACGACTTTTTATCAACCTCCTCTCTCAATTCAACTAGCCTGCCCTGATGCCGGCCTCCCTCCGTTTCCTGCCACTGTTTACAGAGTCTGCTTTTGAGTCGGCTCAAAATCTGAATCACCTTTATCTTTCAACTAACCTGCCCTGATGTCTGCCTCCCTTCGCTTCCTGCCACTGTTTACAGAGGTTAGGGGTGATCGGCCAGGGTGAAGCAGCGTGGAAGCTTCTCCAGTGCTTAGAAAACGGCACATGGGAAGCTGAAGCAGCAGCGGCAGAAAGAGCAGCGGAAGGAGTGACAGCGTTAGTAGCAGCTGATGCAGCAGGAAAGACAAGTGCTGGTGGTGGCAGCAGCAGCAGCAGCAGTGGTTGTAGCAGCAATAGCAGCAGCAGTAGTAGCAGCAGCAGCAGCAGCAGCAGCAGCAGCAGCAGCAGCAGCAGCAGCAGCAGCAGCAGCAGCAGCAGCAGCAGCAGCAGCAGCAGCAGCAGCAGCAGCAGCAGCAGCAGCAGTAGCAACAGCAGCAGCAGCAGGGGAGGGGGTAGGTGGAGGGGGAGTGTGGCCCATTACACTGACGTGCTAGTTGCATTGGGGAGGCTGGATGGTAAAGGGAAGAGGAGGGGAGAGGGGCGAGGGAAGGGTAAGCCAGAGGGGAAAGGGGATGGGAGAAGTGGAGGAGAGAAGAGGCAGGAGAGGCGGACGGATGCAGTGAAAGAGAGTGGAGAGTTGTGGGATTTACGAGGAGTGGATGGTGCTTTGCTGCTGCTGAGACGGATGGAGGAGGAGGGAAGGGATGGGACAGGGGCTGCTGGGATAGAGGAAGGTGGTGATGCTGCCACTGCTGCTGCCACTGATCCTCCGCCTCCTCTCCCTGCGCCCGACATCACAGCATACAACGCAGTGCTGTTCGCCCTGCGTGAAGCCGGCAGAGTGCGAGAGGCAGAGGGGATGGTTCAAGCTTTGCTAGAAAGGGGGAGAGTGTGGGCGAGAGGGGAAGGAGGGGGGGAAGGAGTGGAAGGGGGAGAAACAGGGGAGCTCACAAAACCAGACATTCTTTTAGAGAAGAAGCTGCAATCAGATTTCTGCAGATTAGCGGCGGGTGGAGGGAGGGGTGTGAAGCCAGACGTATTTTCGTTTGGTGTGTTGCTTGGGGCGTATGCGAGGGAGGGAGATTGGAGGAGGGCGGAGGCAGCATGGAGTGACATGGAGGCTTGTGGCGTGGAGGGCAGTGACGTGGCTGCATGCAAGGTGACGTGGATAGGTGCTAGATGAAGCCAAGAGCCCACGTATAGATTTGTACGCTTTATACATTTTATGCAGTTTACTTGTTCCAATTAGCCACTTATTTTACTTGTAATTTCTGTTATTGTATTTCCCTGCGTGTTTTGCAGCTCATACTGGCCTACAGGAACGGAGGGCAGTGGAAGAAAGCTGTTGACTTTCTTGACTCATTCGACTGGCAGCTCAACAGTTGCGATGGCAGCAACAGCAGCCGTAGTACCAGCAGCAGCAGCGGCATAAGCAGGGAAAGGGGGAGGCCTGGGGAAAAGGACGAGTGGCTGGGTGATGAAGCAGAAGAGGATGAGGATGAAAAGGAGGGTGACGATGAGGAGGGTTATGGTGATGGCAACGACAAAAGGCAGCCACTCCGTGACCCCACCATTCAGAAGGGGCGTGAGGGGCGAGAGGGGCGTGAGGGAACGTCCAGTGGCAGTGCATTGGAATTTGCGAGTGTGACGGCGATGCGAGCAGCAGCAGCAGGCAGGGCGCCTTGGGGCGTGGTGAAAGGGGTGTTCTGTGGCTTGCTGGCGAAGATGGGCACACACAGAGTGTCGGTGAGTGGGGCAAGGGGCAAGGGGCCAGGGGCAAGGGGCAAGGGGCAAGGGGCAAGGGGCAAGGGGCAAGGGGCAAGGGGCAAGGGGCACGGGGCACGGGGCAAGGGGCAAGGGGCAAGGGGCAAGGGGGGCTCCTGTGCTTTTGTTACCCTGCAGCAGCAGGCAGGGCGCCGTGGGGCGTGGTGAAAGGGGTGTTCTGTGGCTTGTGTGACAAGATGGGCACACACAGAGTGTCGGTGAGTGGTCGTGATGGGTGGCGGTGAGGCAAGAGAAAGTGAACCTCCACGTCCACTCACTTTCTCTTGCAACCCCTGTCGCTCTTGCCCCCCTCTCACATTCTCCCCTTCCCCAGTTCCCACCCTCATTTCCTGCAATTTCCCCACTGTCCCCTCGCCTTGATTGCTACCTGCAGCTCCGAGCGTTCAACGAGTATCTCCATGTGTGCCAGCTGGCACTGCCGCCCGCAGCCGCCCTCCTTGAGATGCTTGCCGGGCTCAGGTGGATGGCGCAGGCTGGCACTATTGATAATGACACAGTTGATGGCCGTGCCCCGCACATACTGCCGGACGCCGCCACCCTCAACACGCTGACATTTGAGTCGACTCAAAAGGCTGGCACTGTTGGTGGCGACACTGGTGATGGCAGTGCCCCGCACATACTGCCGGACGCCGCCACCCTCCCTGAGATGCTTGCTGGGCTCCGGTGGATGGCACAGGCTGGCACTATTGGTGGTGACACAGTTGATGGTGATAGTAACGATGGCACTGTTGATAATGGTGCACCGCACATACTGCCGGACGCCGCCACCCTCAACACGCTGATGCCGGCAATGAGACGAGCCGACCGGGCGGCAGCAGGACTTCTGCTGTATGAGTTGCTGGTGGGGGGGAAGGAGGAGGGCAGAAAGGAAGACCGGGATTTGCCGGTGGGTAGGGAGGAGGATAAAAGGGTAGATGGGGAGGGAGACGGGGAGGAAGGGGTTGGAGGGGAGAGGGAGGGGAGGAAGAGTGGTGGTGGGTTGACTCGTTTGACTTTGGGAGACTGGGCTGAATTTGGCCGAACAGGCAGACTGCGGGTGCTGGAGAGACAGCTTCAGGGGATGGAAGAGAGGAGCAAGGCCAAAGCGGTCAGGGAGGGAGTGAAGGGAGCGAGGAAGGTCCAGAGGGGGTGGGAGGAGGAGGAGAAGGGAGTGAGGGAGCTGCTGGGGTTGCTGGAAGCAGCTAGAGCAGTGAGCCATGAGTGGACCCAGAAGCATGATGGAGTAGCAAGGAGCAGTGACTCACGGACAGACTACAGAGGAAGGAGTGCGGGTAGTGGTAGTGGTGGTAGTGGTAGTGGTGGCAGTTATAGCATTGGTAGCGGTGATAACAGTGCTGGTAGCACAGCAGGAACAGAGGATGAGGTTATAGCGAATTTGCGTCAAGAAAGTGCTTATGACGGGGTTCATTCAGGAGGTGTTGACTGGCAGGGAAGAGTGTGTGTCAAGCCGGACTGTGTGACTGTAACGGAGGTGATTCTATCGAAGGTGGCTCTAGGGCAGGACGAAGGTGCATTGGAGGTGTTTTGGGAGGCAGTGGGGGGGAGGGAGGGGGGGATGGGTGGGGGAGGAGGGGGAAGGGGAAGCAGGAGCAAGAAAGGAGGCAGGGTTGATTCACATAAAGTTGCTTCTCAGTCAACACTATCTCAGTCAACTCAGTCAACGCCTTCCCAGTCACCCAAGTCAACCAAGGGTGCACTCAAGGCGGATGCACACATGTGCAGCGCTGCCCTGAGTGCGTGCAGGCGGAGGGGGCTGTGGTGGGAGGCCGATGCTGTGTGGGCGCTCATGGAGAGACGCGGGTGAGTTGGGAGGCAGTAGGGAATGCAGTGTTAGGGGAGAATGGGTTGATTTAATGCTGCTGGGGTGACTGGGGGTGCGTGCGTGCAGGCAGAGGGGCCTGTGATGGGAGGCCGATGGCGTATGGGCGCTCACAGAGAGACGACGGTAAGTGGGGGGGAATGTATGTGGGCGAGTGAGAAAAGGTTAGTAAGAGGTTTGAATGAGAGGATTGAGTGAGAGGAGTGAGTGAGAGGAGTGAGTGAGAGGAGTGAGTGAGAGGAGTGAGTGAGAGGAGTGAGTGAGAGGAGTGAGTGAGAGGAGTGAGTGAGAAAAGTTTCTCTGAATACTATCCCTGCAATTCCCCCACCTCTGCTCCTTCCCCCTCCCCTGCTCCCCAAACCCCCTCTTCCCTTCTCACAGCATCCGCCCCACACCAGCTTGTCTCACAACTATGGTTTCAGTGATGGCACGGGCAGGGAAGAGCGAGCGAGCACAGCAGGTGGTAGAAAGGGCACAGGCAGCAGGAGTGGCGGTGCAGCAGCAGACAGCCAACGCGCTTCTGGACGCTCTGGCGTCCACAGGGGATGTGCGCCGCACTGCTGCCCTCTTCTCACGCCTCTTCCTGCCCTCTGGAAACTTCTCTCTCCTCATGGATTCCCCGAAGAAGGGCCTGAGACCCTCCTTGCAGGCAGACACGTTCTCCTTTAACGCTCTGCTTAAAGCCCATGCGAGACGGCTGCAGACTGTGGGAGCAGTGCAAACGGTGCAGTCGGTGCAGTCTATGGTGATGTTGGGAGGACCAACTGGCAACGCCAAGGGTGACACAAAGGATGGAACCCACAGCAGCAGTGGCAGTAGCCGCAGAAGAAATGGCAGCAGCAGCATCAGCAGAAGTGGCAGCAGCAGCAGCAGTAACCGCAGCAGTGACACCCCACCAGATGGCAGGGCGAGGAAGGCAGGTTCTCCTGGGGGAGGTGTGGTGCTCACCCTCTATCCCCTGCGCAGGCCCAGCCCCCGAACCTCCAGCCAAGGTTTGGAAACGGAGTCAGGCTCGGCAACCAGACCTGTAGGTTTGGACACGAGTTCAGGCATGGTCAGCATGGCCATGGGTTTGGGTTCAGGTTCGGTTTCAGGCGCAGGCTTGGAGGCTGCCGCTGCAGGTCCAGAAGTGGTTATGTTAAGCTCGGAGGCTGCAGGTCCGGAAGCTGGTAACTTAGGCTCGGAGGCTGCAGGTTCGGAGGCCATCGGATTAGGGGCTACTTCTGAGGAGTCTCAAGAGGGGGAAGTCAGCAGTATGGGTATGGGAGCATGGAAAGAGCAGCAGGAGGCGGGATCTGATTCTGGTGATGCCAAGGGCAAGGCGAGCAAGGATGTGAACGGGTGGGCAGTGCAGGGTCCTGTGGAGGTGTTTGAAGCGCCTCAAAAGTCGGCTCAAGAGGAGGGGGGCAGCAGCAGGGGTATGGGAGCATGGAAACAGCAGCAGGAGGCGGGATCAGGTTCTGGTGATGCCAATGGCAAGTGGGGAAGTGATGTGAACGGGTGGGCAGAGCAGGGCCCTGTGGAGGTGTTTAAAGCGATGCAGAGGATGGGGATTGCCATTGATGAGTACAGCATCTCGGTAAGTAAGGCATGGTGTGCATGTGTCTGTGCAAGGGCAAGGCGAGCAATGATGTGAACGGGTGGGCGGAGCAGGGTCCTGTGGAGGTGTTTGGAGCAACGCAGAGAATGCAAGTTCCTATCGACGAGTACACTATCTCGGTAAGCCATGGTGTGCATTTGTCTGTAAGGACAAAGCAGGTAGTGAGGTGAACGGGTGGGCAGAGCAGTGCCGTTTGGAGGTGTTTGGAGCGGTGCAGAGGATGGGGATTCCCATTAATGAATACACCATCTCGGTAAGCCTGTGGTGTGCATGTGTGTGTAAAACGTGGTTGATGCGTTGGGCATCAGTAAGCCATACTGAGTCTCGCTTTCACTCCATGCCATGCCCTTCCATGCCATACCATGCCATGCTATGCCACGCCATGCCATGTCACACCATGCTATGCCAATCATTTTGACACATCTCTCACCGTTCATTCATGCATTGTTCGCTCCTCTCTCACTCCTGCCCACCCCTCCACACCTCCCCTACTACCCACCCCTCCTTTCCCCCCCAGCTATACGCACCTTCACTAGAAGCACTGCGGGATGCCGACGAGGCGTCATCCCTGCTCGATATAATCACATCTCACGGCTATCACAGCAGCCGTTTCTTCCCCCTCTGGTGCTCCCACATTGTGGGGGCGTGTGTGGGGCGGGGGGGAGAGGGGGAGGCGGGGAGGGAGGACGTGCGGAGGGGCATGGAGGTGTATGGAAGAATGAGGGGGATAGAGAGGGAGGAGGATGGGGCGTTGGAGAAAGTAATTTGGACGCTGCTGCGAGCTTGCGAGGTAAGAGGGACTTGGGGCTCGCAGGATGGGGCGTTGGAATAGACTATTGTGGCGGGGGAGGACGTGCGGAGGGGCATGGAGGTGTATGGAAGGATGAAGGAGATCGAAAGAGAGGAGGATGGGGCGTTGGAGAAAGTGATGTGGACGCTGCTGCGAGCGTGTGAGGTAAGGGGGGGTTGTGTCGGGTGCGAGGAGTGAAGTATTGAGCTGGGGGAGGGAATGAGAGGCGTGGAGGTGTATGGGAGGATGAGGGAGATAGAGAGGGAGGAGGATGGGGCACTGGAGAAAGTAATATGGACGCTGCTGCGAGCTTGTGAGGTAAGCTTGGGGAAAGTACTGAGAGGCATGGGGCGTTGGAGAAAGTGATATGGACGCTCATTTTCAAAAGCAGGTGGTATTATATCTGTGTATATACATCTGTATTCGTGCATGATGTGCGTGTGTGACAGGAGGTGGGTCTGTGGCTAGAAGCAAGGCAGCTACTGAGGACTACTGGTCCCTCAATCAGACCTTGCAGGCCACCACCCCTTGTTCCCGCACTCACAATGACTCTTCTTCTCCTAAGGCAAATGTATATTCCGTGTGTATGTATCTGTGAAACTATGTTACTCATGTGGCAGGAGGTGGGTCTATGGCAAGAAGCGAAGCAGCTATTAGAGGACTACCGGACCCTCAGGCAGACCTTGCAGGCCAATGCTCCCCGTTTCCCCACTCGCGCCAAGTCTCCCCTCACGCCTGTACTTGCCGAGGAGGCTTCTATAACAGATGAGACGCAGATAAAGGAAGACCCTCGCACAGAGGACTCAGCAGATCTGCCTGCAGCAGCAGAGGCAGCTATAGGAGCAGGAGCGGAAGCAGCAGAAGGAACTGCAGCAGCAGAAGCAGCAGCGGCTGCAGCGGCGGCAGCAGCAGCAGCAGAAATAGCAGCAGCAGAGGCGCCCATAGAGGCCTATCACATGGTCATGGCTGCCTGTGATGCTGCTGGCGAGCCGTTAGAAGCGCTGCAAGTGTACCGAGATATGCTGGCTCGGGGGCTTGTACCCTCGATGAGCACATTCGCTGTTATCATTCGCGCTCTGCAGAGGGGTGGGCAGTGGGTAAAGGCTATGGAGGTTTTACAGACAATACCCAAGGGCATGAAGGGAGGGGTGATGGATGGGAGGGAGGGATGATGGGATTGGTGAATGATTGATTATTGAACGTTCATCACATTGGTTTTGGACTTGGAGAAAACTGAGATCCTTTGAGAAATTACACTTACAATCGTTGAATCAATGGCTGTTTTGACGATGGCACTCTTTACTGGCTGGGTCATTTGATGTTTTGTTGTTCAAACATAATAGAATCTAAATAAAAAAATAGTAAGCATTGAATCTAAACGATGGGAGAAAGAGCCACTAGAGGTGGGCCAGTTTATACGGAGCGGTCCATTCACATATTTATCAGCATTCCAGACCACATCTTTTCCTTCATACCATGTCGTGGCACCAAACAGAGTCATTTACAATTTATTTCACGGAAGCCTGTACAAAAGCGGAGCCAGCAGTACGGGGACCACTGGTGATCCCGATAAATTTTACGGCAGTGAAAGTGACTCTTGGTAACTTCTGCCCCGAGATAGGGTTAATCACCTTTCAGCGCGGCTCGAGCCTAGGCGAAGGCGCAGCGAAGGCACCGTAAGCGCGGTTAGAGTGTCGTTATCCCGCATGTCTACCACGGCTGAACGGCATACGCGCCATGAGGCTGCTGTTACGGCCGACTCACGCGATCCCCGGGTGTTCATTCCCCGTGACGCACCCCTGACGTGGAACCTGGACGACGTGGCAGCGAGCAATTGGTCCAATGGTGGGATGCCGTTGGTAAGTTATCGTTAGGTTTCAATGGCTAGTGACTCAAAGCTCTTGACTATGAATGATGTTTCAATGGGGTTCTGGACGAGGAACTATGATGTTCTGATTCTAGACTGTTCCCTTGGGTCCTTGGGATCTTCATCTCTATCTCTAGTGCCGATGCTGCCAATGCTGTCGATGTATGCATGTGCTTCCGTGCATTCTGTTTTGCTGCCGTTGTATGTGGATGTGCTTCCATGCATGCATGAATTCCACACATACATGAATGTGCATACACCAGGTCAGCATCATCATGCCGATTCACAATGCAGAGCCATTCCTGCAAGAAGCAATCGACTCCATTCGAGCACAGGTATGCCTTTCATGGTGCCATGGTGCCATCATGCCATCATGCCACTATGCCACCATGCCATGCATGCCACTATGCCAACATGCCATGCATGTCATAGGCGCATGCCATCAAGTCTGCACTACACCACATCATGTGTCAACATTTTCGAATTTGCACTTCCCTATGGGCATGCGCAATGCACATGCCATCCTGTTCAATTGCACCACACCATCCTCCCAGGGCTTGCTTGTAACCGCATGCGTGTGGTAACGTGTGTGCGTGCAGAGTTACAAAGGACTCATGGAGCTTGTAGTCTTTGATGACGGACCGAGCACCGACCAATCACGGGCCATCCTCGAGGCAAATCGCTCCGCGCTTGCCGCCCGGGGCATCGCCCTGAAGATCGTGGAAGAGCAGACAGATGCTGTCGCCCGGGAGGAACGGACAGATGCCGCCGCCCTTGACAAGCGAACAGATCCCCCTGCAATTGATAGCTGCCACGATGATAAAGAAAGTGCGGAGAACTGCCAATACACTGACAACAAGAGCTGCGGGGTTGATGGCGGATGTGGCGGTGATGGTCATAATGGGAGCGGTGATTATGATGGAAGCAGTGGTTACAATGGGTTTGGTGACTTGGTAAATGGGAACTCTGAAGCCAGTGATAATCCTGACAGCAGAAGCAACGCAGAAGGTTCCAGTGAGAGGAGGCAACAAAGGACCCGGCCGAGGGGGTGTGGGTTTGGTCGCAATCGAGCCATTGAGCACAGCTGTGGCGAGTTCCTGTGCTTCGCTGATGGGGTGAGATGCGCAGGTAGGGGCGTGGGGGGGCATGGGGCATGGAGCATGGACGAGACCATTAGTAGTGCATATCAATACTCGTCCACATCTCCCTGCCACGTCAAAATGCACATGGAGAGGCACATTGAACACCCCTCATGCTTTTTGTTATCATGATTACATTTTCTTCACCGGTCTTCATACCCTTCAGGATGACGTCATGGCTCCAGATCGCATCTCTCTACAGCTTGCTCTCGCCTCACGCAGCGACAAGCTACTGGTAAGACAAGGCCGCTCTTAACTGGAGAAAGAAAGAAACGGAAAAAAGAAAAGGTGTTGTTCCATTTCAAATATCTGCAGCTAGGTTGGAGTTGCTATTCAGAATTATCAAAAGCGCCTCTCACACCCGCAGCTGTATGTGCAGCAGCGGCTGGTGGAATGACAGAGCCTGTGTGCTATCACACTCTCTCTCCTCCCGTTCGTCTTGCCAGCCGATGCCACGCCAGGACTCACAGCATGGGTCAACGCCCTCTCGCAGCCACACAGCAGCTGTACTTGCAGCAGCAGCGGCTGGTGGAATGACACAGCCCCTTGTGCTCTAATGCTCTCTCCCCTCCCATTCGACTTGCCTTCCCCAATCCGTCCAGGTGGGTTCTAATTTCGTTCGTCTGCCGGCAGATGCCACACCAAGACTCACAGCATGGGGCAACGGCCTATCCCAGCCGCAGCTGTACCTGCAGCAGCTGGTGGAAACCACGCTCATCGCCCCCACCTGGTTCTGCTCCCGACAAGTTTTCAACACTTCGGGCATGTTACATATACTAGTCCTTGTTCTTTCTTTCCCTTCATACATAGCTTCAGTTCAGTCAGCTGTACCTGCAGACAGCAGCTGGTGGAAACCACCGTCATCGCGCTCACCTGGTTCTGCTCCCGACAAGTCTTTGACGCTTCAGGTGCGTACCACTACTTGCCTCCGGCCTCTCTTCTCTGTCACAACTTAGGCTTGGAACTGATACATTAGTAGTGAGCTCAAAGCTCTTTAAGTACATCAGAAATGAGCAAGGTATGGATGAGGAGGGAATCAGGGGGCAATCCTAGGGAATCAAGGGTAATCCCAAGGCAATCTCCAATTGGTGGGTTGGAGATTGCTTGGAGATTACATTTGGGTTTGGTTGGGATGTGGGTGTACACCCAACCAAACACAAAGTGCAAACTACACTAAACTAGGATATAAAAGTACAAGTACAAAATGTGAGATTGAGGGCTAACACCAACATTCTCAGCACCGATGCCACATGCCTATGCGTCAGTTTGCCTTTCCTGCAGCAGCTGGTGGAAACCACCCTCATTGCCCCACCATGCCTCTTCCCTGGCCCCCTTTTGCCCATGCCCCTGCACAATGCACCAGGTCCCTTTGACGAGAGAGGGCCTGGCACACCAGATGATCTCATGTTCTTCCACCAGCACTTGGGCAACGGCGGCTGGCTGGGCAAGGTGAGATGGAGGGATGGGAAGCACTCTAGTGCACTTGGAGCCTAGGGTACCACACCAGGTCCCTTTCGTGAGGGTGTGGTCCCGGCACAGCACACCTGACGATCTCATGTTCTTCCATCAGCACTTGGGCAACGGGGGCTGGCTGGGCAAGGTGAGCACCTTTTGAATGTGGTTGGGATTTGGATGAAAGATCCTCTATGAGCCGTGGGGATCTCAGCAGGTTCTTTACATGAAAGTGACCCCAGCATGCCAAACGACCCATTTGTATTGGTCCAAACCACTAGCACCTGGGTGTCTGGTTCTACCCTGTATTGGTCCAAGGCGTGGTCTTCGTCTCATCATGACATCTTCATATCGCAGTGCCATAGGTAGCCCAATTGCCCAATTGTTGACCACCGAACCAAGAATGCGGTTTCTTTTTCAAAGTATATACAGGTTTGTATTGTATGTTCATCCATTCACAGGTGCCTCAGCCTCTAGTGACCTATCGCTTCCACTCAGCATCAGTGACGGGGTCAAGAGGGTGTCCCTGGGAAAGCATCTGGTTGCAGCGAGTAAACCACCTGGAGGCGCGGCTACTCTCGGGGTATGAATGATGGCTTGTGTCTTCATGTGTTTTGAGATTTCTCAGAGCTCGTTCGCATTTGGGGAGCATGATGGCTTGTGCCCCACCACCACCATCCTGCTCGGTCATTCGTTTTGGGCCTCGCTTTGTTTTTTTGCGTGCTTCAAACAATGTGTGTAACAAACTCGCTGGCTGCGTTTGAATGTTTCCGGCATAAACGCCATTCGCGCTCTGAGTTGACTCGGAGCCCGCCGGTCATTTGGAAGTTCAAGCCAGTTGTTTCCAGACCAAGTGCTGCTCTGCACTCTGTCATGTTTTTTTTTTTGCCACGATTTCTTGCAGGCCTGGCAGCTCTCGCTGGTCAGAATTCACCATCTGGAATGCGGGCAAAGAGGGCAGGAGACTCTACCGCTCTCTTACTCTATCGAACCAAGCCAAGGTATGACATAACGCTCCCTAACTTCTTTTACTCGGCCCAATAAGTCACCTTAGCACATTTCGGTGCATTTGTATCTATTGATGGCAGTGGCCTGGCGTTTTCTCATGCTGCAGGTTATTGCCTTCTGTGATGTGGATGTTAAGAAGATAACCAGAGGATTGTACACACACCACGAGTCCGGTAGAGCAGTGCCAGTAATTCACTGGTCTGTAGCAAGGCCGCCACTGCTCTTATGTGTGAAAAGAGGGCTTACTGGGGGTGAGTTCGAGGAGATTATAGAGTCACTGAACATGGAAGAAGGGTTGGATTATATTTACTTTTCATAATGGCAAGTCATCATGCATTTACGTTTTAGTCAATACGGTATTACGGTAGTGCGGATCATCTGTGCAGTACCGGTGACAATGGCAGAGTCATCCTCACCAGCTAGTGGATGGATGTCTCAATGCAAATATGACCGCCATACATACAGGTACATGATACATCTAGCACTGCTTGTTGTTACTCTTTCTAAAAGTAGCTCCTAACTTAAACCTCAAATTCTACAAGACTGACAGATCATTAACATAGAGTATGTAACGTAGCAGTAGACCAACTTGCCAGCAGCATTCTAAGCTGAACAGCACCCCCCCTTGTTGGCGTTGGCATCTGCTCCCACCAGAATAGACGTGCCTTCTCCAGGCCCTGCGGTCGCACCCTCTTCTTGAGCCAGAGCCTTCTTGCTCACAATGCGGTAGATCTCTGTCAGCACTCGGTGAAATGCGTTCTCCACATTTGTCGAATCCAGTGCTGATGTCTCGATGAATGAGAGGCCTTCCTTTTCTGCAATTTGTAGGGAAAAGTAGATGCGGAGGGGAGACAAAAGGGAGGCGGTTAAGTAACTGCACAGCCAGGCAGGTCTCCGTCAGCACCCAGTGGAATGTGTTCTGCACATTTGAAGAGTCCAGCACCGATTTCTTGAGCCTTCTTTTTTCTGAAAATTGTGGAGCGAAGGGGAAAAGGTTTTGTTACATAATGCATATTGCACAACCGAGAAGGTCTCCGTCAGAACCCAGTGGACTTTGTTCTCCACATTTGTCGAACCTAGAGCCGATGCCTCATGGTTGTGAACCGGTACCCGAGAAAGTGTCATGTATGAGTCCACGAGCGTGGTGCACGCATACGCACTGAAAGGGAGCTGCTGCGTGCGCAGGCGCAGAATGCGTGAGTATGCGTCTCTGTTGTGTGTCTGTGTGCACGCGTGAGTGTATGAGTGTCAAGTTTGCAGGGTGTGTACGTGTTTAAGCATGCAAGCGCGAGAGTGTGTGTGCGTATGGTAAGAGCGTGTGAGAGTGACGAGTGTGAGGGAGGGCGGAGCGAGGGGAGCTTGTTAGGGAGGGGAAAGACTGCGCACAAACAAGCCCTCAGGCATTACCAGTCAAGATTGTGCGTAGATGCCTCAGATTCGACTTGTCCAGTCAGAATGATCGCAATGTCATAAAGTTCTTACGAAAAAGCGCATGAATGCGTCAAACCTGGTTCACTCCAGCACACATGATCACGATGCTAGAATCCGCTCAGAATGTTCACAATGCAGGAATCTGCTACGCGAGAGGCCACCTACCAGCAAATCCTTGCGCGTCGTCGGTCGAAACAGCACGTAGATGCCTCAAATCCGACTTGTTCCCCACCAGCATTATCACAATGTTGGAATCCGCGTGATCCCGCAGCTCCTTGAGCCATCTCTCGACGTTCTCGTAAGTCACGTGCTTCGTGATGTCGTATATAATCAACGCGCCGACCGCTCCCCTGTAATACGCACTTGTGATGGCACGATACCTCTCTTGACCAGCGGTATCCCAGATCTGAGCCTTGATTGTTTTGCCGTCAACCTGTACGTATCAGGACGGTATGATGAAAAAACACTCAAATAATCGAGCGGCTTAGAAACATATTCAGGAATCATAATGACTATGCGAGATGGATGGCGAATATGTAACAGGAGAGCACCGTTTCTCTTTGACCTGAAACTCACCTGGATACTTCTCGTTGCGAACTCAACGCCGATCGTGGATTTAGATTCTAAGCAAAACTCGTTACGGGTGAACCGAGAGAGAAGATTAGACTTTCCTACGCCGGAATCTCCGATCAGCACGACTTTGAAGAGGTAGTCGTACTCGTCATCTGCCTTGTGAGCCATTATTGCGACCAGAAGAATAAAAGGAAATGGAAGACCAAGTATTCCCTAGATTCTGCAGAGTGACTTCGCAAAGTTTAACAGTTGGCGTCGGGTTCCTGTGGGTCTGAATCGGTATCAATCGGCTGGAAACCGCGAAGAATCACAAACAAGATACGTGAAGATAAGACACAGTAGCACAGGATGCCTTTATGCAGCTCTTATGTCTGACTATATTCCTGGCACATGCAACCAGGAACTCTCAGAAACAAAGCATAAAATAGCATGTCCCAGATTCACGCATACGGAACAGCTATGCTGTCCGAAGATTTGAGATTAGTGGGAAGCGCAGTTGGAAGGCATGTTTCGAAGTGTCGGTGTATCGAGGTCTAAATTGTTTAGCAGCGGTTCAAAGTGGTAATAATTACTGACAAACCAAATTGCACTACAACGTACTCAACCGTTTGGACTGAACAGAAGGCCATACCTGAAGCGGGCAGGTATGGCGGATCTTCGATTTTGCCAGGCTTCTCGGAATTCTCAAGGTCAGCCACTGCCAGAGCAGGTCCTGACTCCCCGTTCTGGCGGGAAAGCTGACGTGCAAGGCAGGTTGAGGCGGGGTGCTTCTTGCAAAACTGGAAAAAAGCATTTTGTGTTTTCTTCCTCTGTTCCTCTCGAGACACCAGCAGTGGTGGCACTTAGCTAAGTTTCTGCTGCGACTTTGTCAAGCCAAAAGCCACTTGACGCGTTGTGCTCGCTGAGGAGTGACTCGACAACCTGCACGATCATAATACTCGTTGAATGCACTTAATTGCTTCGCCATCCGTAATTCTCACACTTTGCTGAAAAAACAGTGGAAACCTGCTGGGGCACCTTATTTTCTGCTGATCCCAGCCAGATAGGCGCGACGCTGGTGGACGTTCAAGCTACGGTTTGTTGGAGTAGCCAACACGGTTACGGCAGCAAAAGTTTCTGTCTTTTGCTGTTATTTGTTTCGTGTGACGATCAAGGGTTAATTATGGCGAGGATAAGAACAACTCCTATCGCGAGCTTGGCGAAGGAACAGATCGTTCGCGCACGCGTGCCGCGCGTCAATCCCGCTGATTACTCGTCGAGCGGCGAAGGCGAGGAGAACACCGCTTCGGCTGAAGGTTCGGATCGCAGCATCGATGACGGCTCCGAGGGAGATGAAACGCATCAACGAGATGAAACGCATAAAGACGACACGTACCAAGATGAGGATAATAGCGGGAATGGCTCCGCAAAAGAAGGAGACTCGCCGTCAGGGCGAGACGATACCGAGTCTATGGAGGTTCTGCCGCGTAAGAGGAAGCGAAGAGCGGGCGTGACAGTAACGGAAACTCCGGAGCGATCTTACGGTGACGATAACGAGGGTTCGCCAGACGCGTACGAACGAGGTGACGGTGGTCAGGCCGTATTCGTCCCGCGGAAAAGGCAGAGAACGAAGCGGAGCCGGAACGGCGGCGGAACGAATGGTGGGGACTCTAACGGCGGCGGCGGCGGAGGGGGAAGAGAGCGGATACCTCTTTTTAGGGGAAAAGGGGAACCGGGGAGCCCGGGAAGTCCGGAAGACAATGTTTCGGGGGAAAGCGAAGGCGGGGCTGCGCACGGGGAGCGGGTTAGGCGGAAGCGGAGACCGAGCATGAAAGCGGGGGAAGGAGCGGAAAGGAGAGGGGAGAGAGGGGGTGACGGGAGGAGAGAGAGGGGAAGGCAGGGATTGGCTGGTTTGAGGAGGGATAGGAGGGGAAAGAGAAGGGAGGAAGATGGGGATGGTAATAGCGAAGACGTCAATAAGGAGGACAGTGGAGAGGAGGAGCGAGAGAGGGAGAGGGGGAGCGAGGAGGGAGGGAGTGGAGAGTCGAGTGGGGGGGAGCGAGAGAGTGTAGGAGGAAGGGGAGGTGGGGGACGGGCGCAGGGTAAGAGGGAGGGAGGAGAAAGAGAGGGGGAAGAAGATGGGGAGGATGGGGAGGATGGAAAGGTGGAGAAATACGCTGAGAGGCGTCGTGGGAAAGGAAATAAGATGAGACATGGTGTGGTCGATAATGCAAATGAGGGAGAGGAGGAAGAGGAGGAAGAAGAACGCGGGACAAGAGGGAAAGGTGGGAGAGGTGGGAGGGGTGGAAGGGGTGGAAGGGGGTCCAGGGGAGGAAGAGGAGGTGATGGAGAGGCGAAGAGGAGGAGAAGGCGAGGAGGGCGGGCTGTTGATGCGAGCAATGAGGGAGACGAGGGGATGGACGGTGAGGGAGGAGGCGGGTCTGTGGTTCGGAAGAGAAGGGGGAGGAGGCCTGCTGCTAGTCCAAGAGAAGGGGGAGAAGGAGGCGTGACACCGTCACCAGCAGCACCATCACCAGCACCAAAGAAGAAGTGAGTGTGCTTGTTTCTGGTGTTTGAGTCGACTCAAAAGTCACCCAGCTGCAAGTCCCAAAGATGGGGGAGGGGAGAAGGAGGGGTGACACAGTCGCCCGCAGCAGCATCGCCAGCCTTAAAGAAAGGAGAGAAAGGAGTAGGCCCACCACCGTTACCAGCAGCAGCAGCATCGCTAACTCACAGAGGCATGCAGTCTCACAGAGAGGGATGCCCGTGCGTTGTGAGTGAGGAAGCTTCAACGGGAAAGGTGTGGTCCGTTGTTCACCCCGTTTCACCCACTCCTCTCTATCCTGTTATTATCCCCCCTGTCGCACTCTTTTTCAACCCACAGAGGCACGCAGTCTCACAGAGAGGGGTGCCCGTGCGTTGTGTGTGAGGGGATTCGACGCAAAGAGAGGCGCACCTTGGAGTTTGGGAGGGAAATCTCCAAGAAGGAACTTGACCAGTGGCGGAGGAAGGAGAGGAAGGAGCGGGAGTTGAAGAAGAGGAAGGAGATGGAGGAGGAGAGGAGGAGAGAGGAGGAAGAGGAGAGGAGGAGGGAGGAGGAAGAGGAGAGGGCTAGAGAGGAGGAACGAGAGAGGAGGAGGGAGGAGGAGGAAGAGGAAGAGGAGGAGGAAGAGAAGGGCGAAGGGGATGACTCTGAGGAGGGACGGGGGGGAGACGGGGAAGGGGCTAGGAGGAGTAAGGGAAGGAAGAGGCGGATGAGAGGAGACGAGGAGGAAGGGGAGCAGGAGGAGAAGAGGAGGAGGAGAGCAAAGGTGGAGGAAGAGGAGGAGGAGGAGGAGGAGGAGGAGAGTGAAGAAGAGGAGAGGGAGGAGGGAGAGAGGGGGGAAAAGGGAGAGAGGAGGGGGAGAAAGGTTAGGGGCTTGAAGCTTATCGAACAAGAGGCTAAGGAGGGGGGTGCTGCCAGCACTACCGCAGATACTGAAACAGATGGGAGTGAAGGTGCGGATGAGAGGGGAGACGAAAATAGGCGTGCATATGCGCGGGAAGACAGGGATAGGCGAGCGGATGGGGGGGAGGCGGAGAGAGGCGAGCAGATGCAGAGACGGATTCTGACGAGGCCACCGAGTCAGAGGGAGGGGATAACGAGAGCGAGGAAGAGGGTGGGGAGCAGGAGAGGAAGGAGCAGGAAAAAAGGGTCGAAGAGCGGAGAGTGAAAGGTCAAAGTAGAGAGAGGGACGAGCGGGAGGAGGAGGAACAGGCGAGAGGAGAGCGAGAGGGAGACGAGCAAGAGGGAGACGAGACAGGAAAAGGTGATGTTGGAACATTGAAGGGAAGAGGAGGGAAGGGAGAGGAAGAGCAGAGGGGCTCAAAAGGTGGAGATGGTGAGAGAGAGGAGGAAGAGGAGGGTGAAACAGATGAGGAGGAAGATGAGGAGGATGAGGACGAGGATGAAACAGTTGGTGTTGCTGCTGGTGCTACAAATGGCGCTAGTGCTGCTGCTACCGATTCTACTGTGGCAGCTGCTACAGCAGCCGGCACAGCTGATGATGAAGCAGCTTCTAGTGACGAGGCTACTGAGCTGGATACAGATTCTGATGACGAGGATGGTGCTGAGCTGGCATCTGATAACCCCGAGGTGGCATTGGACGAAGCTGACGATGCAGAACCGGTGATTCTGGACAGCGGGGCTGCTGCTGACGTGTCCACACCCTCTGTTGAGCTGGCAGGAGAAGGGAGCGGAGAGGATGTGACTGAAATGAGGGATAGACTAGGGGAGGAGGAAGAGGTGGAGGTGATGGAAGTGAGGGGGAGGAGGAGGAGCTCTGACGGTGGGGAGGAGGTGGTAGTGGTGGAAGAGAAGGGGAGGAGGGAGAGAGGAGGTGGGAGAGCAAGTGACAGGCATGTAGTTGACTTGGAGGGGTATGGGAGCTCTCAGATTCAAGAGATTCAGGACACTCAGGAGGAGATTCAGGAGGAGGGGAATGGGGGGACTGAGGAAGTTGAGGATGAGGGGGAGGATGAGGAGGAGGAGGAGGAGGAGGAGGAGGGGGAGGAGTTGCAAGCTGCTGACGTGGATGAGGAGGAGGATGACGTGGATGATGACGCGGATGACGATGCGGCTCAAGAGATTGGAGAAGATGGGGGAGCGGGTTCGGGAGGTGCAGGCTCGGCGAAGGGTCGGGAGGAGGGCACAGGGAAGGCGGGAGACGGAGCGAGAGGAGAAGCAGGAGAGCAGGATGAAGAAGGTGAACAGGAGGGAGAGGGGGAGGAGGCACAAGGGGAGGAGAGGAGTGGTGGTGGTGGTAACCGCACGGTGGAAGGGACAGTAGAAAAACCTGCGAAAGTGCCTTCAAGCATTCCGGTGCGTTGACAGGAGCATTGCTTGTGTATGCATTGTGAATTCTCTTGCCAATCTCGAATAGTTCAAATTCTTCAGCATGCGTCAGTGTGCCCTCCACTGCTTGTTTCCCATGTGATCCTTATGACGGCCATTATTAGGAACGAACACTACTTGCGTGATGCATTTTTATGGTCCTTCCCCCCCCCCCTTCCCCTCTTTTCCTGTTTGTCGCATGCAGAAGAGATTCCTCAAGGAGTTGAGGGAGCTTCGGGAAATTAGTGGGATTCCTGAGCCTGCTTTGGCCTCGGATGCTGCCGAACCTAGAGAAGGCACCCAGGCTCGGAACGGAGCTGCAGCAGGCTCGGCGCCTCGGGGCTGGGTTCCTCCGAGTGTTCTTCGAGATCCAACCTCCATTGCCTGTTATGTAAGTACTTGTGCTGTGAGGCACGTAATGATTCAAACGCATTTCATGCGATTGATATTCATGAATTGCATGTATATCACTGGTTATTGGAGCTCTTGATTACTTTGACCCCTTCCACCCCCCGCCTATTCCTCCTCCTGCCACCAACCCCCTGTCCTGTTTCATTTTTATATCCAACTTTATTCATTTGTGATTGTTTATCTGAAGTGCATCCACATTTTGTAATATGTTGTGTGATTTTTTTTTTTCATCTGTGGCTCGGTCAGGTGCCGACGAGTGCTCCACACGTTCCGAAACAGCTCCCACAGGACGTCATGAGTTTGGGGGTGCGCTTGTTTGCCAAGAGCCCTGGAGCATTGTTGTGGCAGCAGCAAGCCAAGGCAAGGCGGGGAGGAGGAGGCTCAATGAGAACGGGAAATGCGTCTTCTATCACTAGTTACAGTTCTTTCTTTGTAGGTTTATAGGGAGCCAGCGTATTACTGTATAGGGGATGCGCTGAGCGCAACGGGTGTAAGTAGAGAAATAACCAGGGTAAATTTCCGTTTTAACCCTGGGCACTTTCTGCTGTTTCCCCCTAACTGAGGCATTTATTTCTGTTTCACGTAACCCCGGGTTGTCCAACCACAAGTTGTCGTTTCAACTCGGGTTCTTCTCCTGTCTCAAACTTCCCAAAATATTTCTCCACCAATCATACTCGCTGCCGTTTCCTGAGTCGACGTTACTGTGCATTCTTGACCTGGCGTTCCTGGCTGGGGTGAACGGACGGCAATTGCGAGTGGCGGTGGTTACTCTGTGGAGCTGCTATGGGCTGCCCTGCCCTGCCTGTGGCTGCGCTGTGCATCGTCAACATGTTGGATGAGCTTCGACTGGCAGATTCATTCCCAAGTTGCGGAAACCCCTTCAACAGTTCATACTTTAAGGGCATTCTCCGTCGTTTCCTGACTATTTTCCGCATTTCCAGGCCATTGCTATAATCTTCAGGATATTTACCCCGACCCGATCCATCCCCTTCGTCAAGCAGCTTTTCTTCCATTTCCTTCAAAGCTTCCTCTTTCCAAATCTCAACCTTCACATTTTACATGTCCCTGTTCTTCGCAATTCCTGGGTCGTAAGTTATGCACTGTGAAACAGCATCCTGGCCAGGCTTCGTGTGACGTCGCTTTCCTCTTATGACCTAAATTTCACCGAGCAATAGTTTATTTCTGAGCGACGACCCCTGTTCCTCTTTTGTTTCACGCACATTGAGCTTACGATAATCATTCACCACTTGCCGTCCTTATGTCGTCGTTAGGTTCCGTTTCCATGAAAAGGCCCAATGTCGCTCGGCTACAAATTCCAGGCGACGAAAATCCGGTTCCAGCCACGACCGCGGCCGATGCGTGTCAATCAACGCAACCTCCCGAAGAGCATGCCAAGACCGGCGATGCAGCATTTTCCATTTCGCTAGCAACGCATGACGAAGCCGGCGAAAATAACGGCGTTGCAAGAGATTCCTGCGCTAAACCTGCCGATCCTCCAGCTCGCCGCAGCGCGTCGAAGCACCGTCGAGCCTCTTCCGTATCGCGACCCGCGTGGCTCAGCGAGGAGCAAATCTGCGCTGCGCTCGCCGCTCCGCCAGTCCCCCCGGCATTCGGCGCTCCTTCTCCGCGAAATGCCGCTTCCGCCGCAGCGTCCGCCTCCAGACGATCAAGCTGGGCGCTCGCGGCTACCGCGCACGGCATTATGGCGGAAGGCTTTGGCTGGGAAACGATGAAAGGCGACTTGTGCGACAGCGGTAACAGCCGCGGCGCCGTCGTAGCAGCAATGCCGTCACCGTCGTCTGCCAACAGTAGCACGAGCAGCGGCAATCGCATAAAATCGAGTTTTAGTAGCGGGGACAATGTAACGGACAAGGACGACGTTTCTGGAGCCGACGCGGCTCGTTTGCCATGGCTGCCGCCGGTGATCTCGTCGCGCAGCAGCAGTGGCGAAAGTTACCCGTGCCTCGCCACTCCCAGATCGAACAGGGCTCGGCGAAGGTCCTTCACGAACACCTCGTCTGGTAACCCGGAAAGAAATCGGAGGCCTGAATCCGATTCCGAGTCGAGACTAAGCCTGTCAGTAGCTTCGGAAACCGGCTCCGCTGCTGGTGGTGGTGCCGGTTGTACCAATGCTACTGACGCTGCTGCTGCTGCTTCTGCTACCTCTGCTTCTCCTTCTTCTGCTGCTGCTTCCGCTGCTGCGTCTGCTGCGTCTGATGCTACTGATGGTGGTGCTGCTGGTAGTGATACCACTGCGGTGCCAGTCCGCGCGTTCCGCCATTCCCACAGCGCGCCCGCGGATGAGAGTCCAGGAACTGGGGGGAGCGGCGGGGGGAACGCGCCGCCTTCTCCGATGGGTAGGATTCCGAGCTCTGGGTTTGGCGGGGGCGGGGCGATGACCCCCCGACAAAGAGCCGCGCGGAGCATGTTCCCCCGCGCCGTGTCCGCGTCGTCCGCGCACGTCAGCGGCGAGAGCGCGGGAGGGGGGATAGGCGGGGCGAATCGCAGGCGAGGGGGCGGGCGGGTAGTGGGGCGGGTTGGCTCATCCCCGCTACAGCCATCCCCGCTACAAGCGTTCACGCTACAGCCGTCCCTGCTGCAAGCAGCTGCGTCGGTCAGCGGTGTAGATGCGCCCGCTCAGGAAAACAACCCGGACATAAATTATTTTCTACAAGCTGGGTCCCCTGCCCGCGCTGGCCCAGGTTTGGGGCGAAGGGGGGTCACAGTGGCAGCAGCGCCGAAACTGAAACCGCTGCCAGAGCTAAGGCAACTCAGTGGTCGTGTAGCGCTGAGGCAATTTAGCGGTTTGTCTGGAGCCCCGTCGTACTCTTCTTACAGAGAACGTAGGTGTGAGGGGGAGGAGGGGGGGGGGAGGGGGAGAATGAAGAGCATGTGGAGGTATTTGGAGGGAAGAAGGTGGCTCCAAGGCAGCAGCAGCCGCGGCAGCTTCAGAGGCACTCGACTGCTCCCTGTGATGAAATTGACGGCTCTGTTTTCGAGATGGTTGACCCAGAGGAATCGAACGGTTCAGAACCAGCGGTTGTGGACGGTCAGTGTGCTTAATGTTTTGGGTTTCGTGATGCTCCTAAGGTTGAGACGAAGGATAGTTGCTGCAGTAGAAGCTGAGCAGTGAGGGCAGGGAAGGATAGGGGAGGGCATGGCGAGGGGAGGATGGAGGGAGAACAGAGGGAATGGGGGGTGGAGGGTGGGAGTGGGAGAGGAAGGGGGAGGATGCGGGAGTGGAGGGGAGTTTTGGGCACCAGGTCGTGCAACATACACTTAAGAGAGTCTACGGTGCTTTTATATCGTTTTCAGTTGCTTCTTTTTTCTGTTTAACAGTAGTATGTATTTTGCCCAGTAGTGGTCAAGTGGGATGGGCTCTCGTGGAGATCCATAAGTGGATTTTCACTTTGTCCTGATTGTAAAAAATAGACTGCAAGCGTAAGCATGTATTTGTTTCACAAAACAGACTTGGCTGGCTGGAAACTTTGTACGGTATTAACTTTTTGCAGGCTGTACACACAAGTGCTGATTAGCAACAAGCAAAATACTTGGTGCTAAGTAGGAACGCATTGTCAGAATCTAGCAGCAGGAATGAATGAACTAGCAGCATGCAGGAGTACAAGTAGTAAACCCTAATTGGGCTGTACCCCATATGGGCTACCCCACTACAGCCTAGACAATATGCAGCATATATGTTTGACACACCCCCATAGGCAAAGTGGGGGAGAACAAGGGGTCAAACGACCAGTCAAGAGAAGCAAAGCAAGCTCAGGGTGGATCTCAACGTCACCACACATTCTGAGCACAAGCAAAGGGCCACAAGGCCAGTCCACATGCAGAGATATATATACAACAATAACAGTACAGTGATGACTACCTAGCAAGAGCAGGCATGCATGTATATATATAGATCACAGTACAAGCAGAGACTACAGCAAGTGTGGAAACGTAGGCACAAGGCCTAACAGGGTACAAAAGCGCTGATGATCACCAGACGGAAGTGCCTTGGTGAATATATCAGCAGTGTTGGCCCGAGTGGCCACGTGACGAAGACGAAGCTGGCCTCGCTGCTGCAACTCTCGAGCCAGGAAGTAACGCAGAGCAATGTGCTTCGTTCTGTGCTCCAGTCTGTGCTCCTCACACAAGGCAATGGCGGCCTTGTTGTCGACGTATAGCACTGGAGGAGAACGAGGCTGCTCTCCCAAGTCAGTCAGCAGGTAGGTGAGCCAGCGTAACTCCTGTGCAGCCATGGCTGTGGCGTAGATCTCAGCCTCACAACTGGAGCTGAGAACTGAAGACGAGCGTGTAGAACGCCACGAAACTGAACCAGAGCCAAGGCTGAAGGTGTAACCCTGTGACGACCGCTGAGTAGCCAGGTCGTCAACCCAAGAAGCGTCAGAGTGCCCAGTGAGGACAACTGGGCTCGTCCCTCCAAGCACTAGCCCCATGCCTGATGTGCTGCACAAGTAGCGCAGTACCCTCTTAGCAGCAGCCATGTGCTCAGGTCGGTGCCGACCAGGAGCCACGTAGCGAGCCAGAAGACCAAGAGGGTACGCGAGGTCAGGTCGAGTGCAAGTCATCAGGTACATGAGGCAGCCAACTAGCTCTGGGTAAGGACCACTCGGCTCTACGGACTCGTCCGAAGGTGGAGCTGAGAGCGTGTGACCTGTAGCCAGAGGAGTGGCCTGTGCTGAAGACCAGGTGAAGCCGAAGCGCTGAAGGACCTGCTGCACCATATGTGACTGAGTCAAGGTGATGGTGCGGCGTGCTCTGTCCCGGGTGATCTGCAAGCCAAGGTAGCTGCGCAGCTCACCCAAGTCTGTGCACGTGTGTCTCTTCTGCAGCTCCGACTTCACGTGGGCGAGAGCCTCAGTGTCAGCAGTGGCAAAAACCAAGTCGTCGACGTACACGAGGATGTAGAACGGCGGCAGTGAAGTGTCGGTGCGCAGAAACAGCGACGGGTCAGCAGTAGAAGGCGCGAACCCAAGAGCCGCAAGCGTAGTCCTCAGTGTGTCGTGCCACTCACGTGGCGCCTGGCGGAGACCGTAGACCGGCCGCCAGAGGCTCCACTGGGTGCCAGGAGGGAACGACCCAGTGAAGCCCGGGGGGCGGCGCAGCCAGATCTCCTCGTGCAGGCTGCCATGCAAGAAAGCTGTGCTGAAGTCAAGAGAGTGAAGCTCGTAGTCACGGTGAGCAGCAACATGCAGCAGCACCCGAAGAGTGGTCATCTTCGGGGTGGGGGAGAAGGTCTGGAAAAAGTCTACTCCCTCTCGCTGACTGAAGCCTCGAGCCACGTAACGCGCCTTGAAGACAGGCGGAGAACCCGGCGGCCGTTTCACCCTGAAAATCCACATGCCACTGACGATGTTCGCCCCAGGTGGGGGAACCTCGTCAACGTAGGTGCCTGTGGACTTCCAGGAAGCCATCTCTGCGTCCATGGCTGCCTGCCACTGAGAGGAGTAGGGACCCTCTATCGCCTCTGCGTAAGAGCGCGGAGTCGGGATGTCTGGTGCATCCGGGTCTCCCTCAGGGGCAAGTAGCGAGGACACAAGATGAGGTAAAGCAGCAGCAAGACACTGGAACTCCTCCTGCCTGTCCTCAAGGACGTCCGTGCTAAGAGCACACTCACCCCCGACGGACGGAGGACAGACAGACTCAGACCCAGCAACAAGACTAGCGGCGTAGTCTAGACGACAGGCAGCAGCAAAGTCAACAAGCTCAGCGACCAAGGCAGACGCAGCAGTAGACTCAAACGACGGGTCAGTGACAACAGTGGCTAGGAGACGCGTGACAGTAGGGTGCTCAGTACGAAACCGGTCAGACTCAGGGTCTGGAACGGCAGGCAGAGAGGACGCAGGGGGAGACGGCAGAGGAACAGGCTGCGGAGCAGAGGAAGGACGACGGACAACAAGGTGTGCGCTGGGGACAGCCGGCTGACGCGCACGAGCGACACGACGAACGGTACGACCAGAACGAACAGGCGAGACAGGACGCGACGCAGGCTCACGACGCGTAGCAGGACTGCCTGTCGGCTCAGTGTAAGGAGAGGGAGCAGGTAGCGGTGAGCCAGTCTGTAACGGAAGACCAGTAGACGACGGGAGAGTAACAACCTGACAAAGAGCAGAGTCAGGCGGCGGCAGAGACGACGGAGACGGCGGAGCGAAGAACAGTCGTGTCGGCGCAGCTGCACCAGTACCGGCAGCTCCAGCAGCTCCAGTGCCTCCAGCAGCTCCAGTACCTCCAGGAAGCAGCTCCCGTACCTCCAGCAGCTCCCGTACCTCCAGCAGCTCCAGAAGCTCCAGTCCCAGAGCCGACACCCCCAGTCCCAGGGTCTCCAACCTCTGTGTCTCCAGCAGCAGCACCCCCAGACCCAGCACCTCCAGTCCCAGGGTCTCCAGCCTCAGTGTCTCCAGCACGAGCACCTCCAGAACCAGCGACTCCAGCACCTCCAGTAGACAAAGGACCAGCACCACTCCTAGCTCCAGCAGCGCGACGCTGACGGCGACCGTACCAGTCCTGCAGCTGCTGTGGGGTGAGAGGCACACGTGGACGAAGGCGGCTACTCCAAGGAGACCGCGCAACAGCAGACTCAGAACCCTCAGCGCCCGCACCCCCAACGGCTCCAGAACCTCCGGTGTCAGTACCCTCAGCACCAGTACCTCCAGCGGCTCCAGAACCTCCAGCACGAGCACCCTCAGCAGCTCCAGAACCTCCAGCTCCAGCGCCACCAGTACTAGGCCCTCCAGCAGCTCCCGAACCTCCAGCGCCAGCACCGCCAAGCTCAGCACCCCCAGACCCCTCACACTCAGGCTCAGCACCACCAGGCTCCACACCCTCAAGCTCCGCACCCTCAGGCTCAGCACCCCCAGGCTCAGCACCCCCAGGCTCCGCACCCCCAGGCTCAGCACCCCTAGAAGTAGCACCCCGAGAAGGACCACCCTCAGTAGGACCTGAGTCACCAGTGACCTCAACCGGCGCAGTCAAGGGAGGAGGGTCTACCTGAGAAACACCTGAAGGAGCAGGACCAGGAGTGGGGAGGGGGTCTACCTGGGGAGCACCTGGAGCGAGGAAGAGCGGCGGGGGGGGGAGCGGGGCAGTGCGGTAGGGGAAGAGACGGTAAAAGGGAACCGACTTGTCGAACGTGACGTCCTGAGATGCAAAGACACGGCGCGAGGTGGGATGGTAAAACTGCCAACCAGGCGCGTCAGGGACAAAGCCAAGGAAGACACAGGGAACAGCGCGGGCGGAGAGCTTGTCCGCGGTGGTATCGCGGACAAAGGCACGAGCACCCCAGACCCGGAAACGCGACGCATCACCAACCTTCCCCGTCCACAGCAGTGTGGGCGAGGTCTCCGGCAAGGAGACACGGGGCCAGAGGTTGAGCTGATGCGCGGCGTACCGGACCGCAAACGGCCACAGGAAATGGGGGGCAGCCGCATGGATCATGGAGGTACGAGCGACCTCCATGACTAAGCCAATGCGACGCTCAGCAACCCCATTTTGCTGTGGAGAGGCCGGAAGCGTGAACGACTGGGTGATGCCGTGCTCCGCACAGTAGGCTGCCAAGAGGTCAGAGGAGAACTCACCACCTCTGTCAGAGTGCAGACGCAGGACAGGAAAGTCCCGCTGGAACCGCTCGCGGAGCTGGAGACGGACAGCGCGGATCCAAGGGATCAAAACATCAGGGACGTCCCCCTTGCTCTGCAAGGGGAAGACCGTGGTGTAACGCGTGTAGTCGTCGACAACCAGCAGGAAGTACCGCTCGCGGCCCTGTCCTTGGACGCGGGCTGGGCCCCACACGTCCAGGTGGAGCGTCTGCAGTGGAGCCTCTGTGGGAGGAAACGAGGAGGAGTGAGGAGCGGCGCGCTGCCGCCCCTCGACGCAAGGAATGCAGGGCGGCGCAGGCGAGGGAGGGAGGGCAGGCAGAGACCTGGGAAGACCAGAGACCAGGGAGCGAGAGTGCATGCTACGCAGGCGAGGCAAGGAGGGGTGACCAAGACGGTGGTGCCACAGGAGAGTGTCGTGCGACAAAGCGCGACACTCGCAGGGGGCCGCCAGCT